GGTCAACCCCCAGAGAATGACAGAGCGTCTCGCTGGTAATGCAAACAGCAAACAGAGTTTATTGCGCCAGCATGCTAGGGCCAGACCGCACTTGGAGCACACAGGCCAGCCGAGCAGGGCAGTCGGACCCTGAACAGCACAAGACAGAAGCTTATATAGGCCCTTTTGGGCTGGGAAATGCATCAAAAGTGCCAACCTTGGACATGTTCATTTTATGGCCTTCAGACACAGGCAGCCTGCTCTGTTCCCATACCCATTATCTGTATGACTCATCTCATTCTCACACCCTCATGTTCCTCCTGTTCCTGGAGCCGGAGAAGAATTGTGCCCCTGCCCCGCTGCACCTGGGTTCACAAAGTTGCAGGACAGCAAAGAACAGATTTATCACTAAAGCGGAATCCTCCCAAAGTCCAGGCGCCTCCTGGCCTAGCAAAGTAGCAGTTTTCTCTACACAAAGGAACCTCACACTGCCCAACAATAGCATTTTACCCACACTCTAACAAGACAAAGAGAAAGATGTTCTATCTGTTGATTCACTCCCCAAACGGCCACAATGGGGAGCAGAGCCAATTCAAAGCCTGGAGCCAGGAACTTCTTCCGGGTCTCCTCCATGGGCACAGCATCTCAAGGCTTCCAGCCTTGCTCTACTGCCTTCCCAGGCCCGAAGCAGAGAGCTGGATGGGAAGTGCAGCAGCAGGAATAGGGATCCTGGCACATGCAAGGCAAGAGTTTAGCCACTGAGCCATCATGCTGGGCCCCCACAACCAGCTTTTGGGAGCCCTGTTGTCCATTGTTGTCCACTGGCCATGCGCTTCCCAATACGAGACCCTGAGGGGGCTGTGAAAACATGGAGACACTTGCACGTTCCCAGGCCCAGACTACAAAACTGCCAGCACAAAAAGTGTCACCACAGATACAAGACCGGAAGCACCACTCTGCTTCATTCCTGAAAAGGAAACAAATGTGCCTCAAAGGCAAAACGAGGCAGTTGCGATCTCTGCAGGCGAACCTTCAAAAGAAGGGTCTTGGGGGGCAGGGGAAGCGCGTGTCACATCCAAGTGACGCTCCCTCCCACTCCACGGCTAGGCTTTCCCTGCCTGGGCCTGGGCTCACATCCCCAAGGCCTCCCCACCTGCCCCGACCACACTGGCCGTGCAGGACTGCAGTCGCTCAAAAGCAACGGAGAACCTTGGCAGCCGACAGGCCGGCTGGCCCGCTCCCTCAAGCCAGGGAACTCTTCCCAACAGACAGCATGGAGAGAGGGTGACAGACGCTCAAAGGCTGGAGCCCTGTGCTCACTGGCTGTGCTCAAGGGTGACCCAGGCCTGGAAGTACGCCCACAGCTGTGAGTCACTGTGGAGAGACTCCTGGCAGGCAGTGCTCGGGGAAGGGGCCCCTGGCCCTGGGTGCCATCCTGTACAAGGCCCAGGCTCCCACCCTGCCTGTGCCCCAAGCAGCGGGCTGGAGCAGACATGCTGCTGTGCCCATCCTGCCAAGCCACATCTGGGAGATCCGAGGGTCCCCACGTCTTCATCCCATGGAGACAAGCCCAGGGCTACGTGCTTCCCATGCTCACAGCTCCTGGTTCGAGGCAGGTTACTCCAGATGAGCGCTCATGGGACATAGCCCATAATGGCTCTAGCACCTGCCCTGCCTTCCATGTGGAGGCCTGGACAGAGCCCCCAGCCCAGCCCTGGCTGTGCCCCTCACCTTCCGTATGGAGGCCTGGACAGAGCCCCCAGCCCCTGGCCCAGCCCTGGCTGCGCCCCTCACCTGGGGAGTTTGCCTCTCCTGTGCCATTTAGCACCTAACCCGCTACTTTTCAATGATTTGTTCTCTGAAAGGCGGAGTGACAGAGAGAGAAGAGAGATGTTGAGATCTTCCATCCACTGGTTCACTCTCCAAACGGCTGCAACAGCCAAATCCCAGCCGGCGCAGCCAGGAACCAGACTCCCAGCCTTCCACAGCAGCGCTGGGTCCGAGCGCCCGGGCCCTCACTGGCTCCCTCCCGGATGCAGCAGCTGGAACAGCTGGGATTTGAACTAGTGACCAACAGGCAGCCGCTTAATCTGCTGTGTCAAAGCATCAGAGCTTTAATACTTTTTTTTTTTAAAAAAAAAAACACATATCTTAAGATTCATTTTATTTTTATTGGAAAGTCAGATGCACAGAGAGACAGAGATCTGTTGTCTGCTGCTTTATTCCTCAAGCTGGAGCTGAGCCGATCTGAAGCCAGGAGCCGGATGCCTCCTCCGGGTCACCCACAGGGTGCAGGTCCCAAAGACTTGGGCCATCCTATGTTATTAGACCAGGTGGCGAGCAGCGAGCTGGATGGCACGTTGGCAGGTGGAACTTGAACTGGTGCCCACACATGATGCTGACATTACAGGGGTCAGATTAACCCATCACGTCACAATGTCTGCCAACCACTTCCAACACAAAGCGCAGTTTGTGGAATGAAACACAGGGAATGCTTGGTGGGAACGGAGCCACGGGAGGCAGGACGGCACGGCTGTCTGAATCTCACCAGGGCTGTCAGCAGCTGTTCCAGACCACTGGTTCCATTCTTTCCTTAAGGTTTGTGGACCTGGAGAGGTAGCCTAGCAGCTAAAGTCCTTGCCTTGCATCTGCTGGGGTCCCATATGGGCACTGCTCCTACCCCATCCGCTTCCCATCCAGCTCCCTGCTTGTGGCCTGGGAAAGCTGCGGAGGACAGCTCAAAGCCTTGGGACCCTGCACCCACGTGGGAGACCTGGAAGAGGCTCCTGGCTCCTGGCTTCGGATTGGCTCAGCTCCAGCTGTTGTGGCCACTTGGGGATGAATCAGTGGATGGAAGATCTTTTTCTCTTTCCTGCTCTCTGTAAATCTTTCCAATAAAACTAATTTTTTTAAAAAATGTATTTGAACGTCGCTGTTCCAGAGGGAGACCCTTGGCTCAGGTGGCCCCAGCCCCAGACGGCTCCACAGCACAGAGCTGGCTGGAATCGGAGCAGCCGGGACTCGAACTGGCCCCCCACGGGATGCTGTCCTTGTAGGTGCTGGCTTTCCTGAGGTAACTTCCTAAGGGTTACAAAGCGTCTTGTCCCTAACCTTAGCGATCCTCTGCATTAGGTCAAACTTTCCTCTTTAAAAAAGATTTCTTCATCACCTATTTGGTTCCGCTGGAAGACAAGCGTGTGTTTGTGGCACTTTGTCTTCAGGGCGACGCGATAACGCCCAACAGTGTCCGTGAGGGCTCAGCCTGGGTGGTCTCCTGCCAGGTCAGGGCCAAGGACCAGCAACCTGGCGGGCGGCAGTCTCCCAACCCAATTGTCAGGCACTGAGCTGAGCCACCAGTCACTATGGCACTGCCCAGCACTGCCTCCGCCCTCCCCACGGCGGGCACTGCGCGCCCAGCAAGGCACTGCCAGGACAGGTGTGGGAACTGCCAGGACAGGAGATGGGCACTGTGCGCCCAGCACATCACTGCCAGGACAGGAGGTGGGCACTGCGCACCCAGCACGGCACTGCCAGTACGGTAGGTGGGCATTGCCAGGAAGGGAGATGGGCACTGCCAGGACGGGAGGCGGGCACTGCGCGCCCAGCATGACATTGCCAGAACGGGAGGCAGGCACTGCGCGCCCAGCATGGCACTGCCAGGACAGGTGCGGACACTGCCAGGGCGGGAGGCGGACACTGCCAGGGCGGGAGGCGGGCACTGCCAGGACGGGAGGTGGGCACTGCCAGTACGGGAGGCGGGCACTGCCAGTACGAGAAGCGGACACTGCCAGGGCGGGAGGCCGCGCGGGGGTCACCGCGGGGACCCGGCAGGTGCGGGATGGGACACAGCCGGGCAGCTGGACGCTGCAGGGGGAGGACACGTGGTGGGCCTCCGGCTCCCCACACTGACTGCCAAGTTTTTGGTGTATTTTTTGAGACATGGGTGGAGAGTGGCAGAGTGCGTACAGGCTGTCCCGCACCGCGCCGACTTCCTGAGGAGCCCGCACGCCGCTCCTCGGGCCCTGGCAGCGTCCGCCTCGGGGAGAGGTCCACCCCGGGGAGAGGTCCAGCCGGGGAGAGGTCCAGCCGGGGACGGAAACACTTCAACCACGGCGGCGTCCCTCTCGGCAACGCGTCATCGCCCCGCGGCCCACGTGACCGCGCCCTGCCCACGTGACCCGCGCTGTGGGCTTCCCCCCCCCCCGCCCGCCGGACCGACCCAATGCGGCCATCGAGGGGGGACGCCGGCAGGATGGCCCGCCGCCACCGGGGACACAGGGGACACGGAGGGACGGGGGGAGCCCGGGAGACGGAAGCAGCGCTCCGGCGTCTCCGGTCCGCGCCAGGCAGCCGTCGTGCTCGGAGCGCCGGCCATCGGCTCGCGCTGGCTGCCCCCGGCATTTTGGAACCGCCCGTTGCTCCGCCCAGTCGGCGGACGAGTCTAAAGTCGACGTGTCGTGGGGGGTGCTGACTTCCCGGCCGGCGTGTGCTCCGGTCGATTCCGCGCCTTCCGCCCCGCTAATGGTTTCGTCCGCGCGCAGCGCCCGACGGGAGCGGGAAGGCGCGGCCGCCATGTTGGACGGGCCCTTTCGCGCGCGCGGACGGGGGTGGTGGCGGCTGGCCGGGCGCGTCGCGGTCGGCAGGCCGGCCGTGCCGGCGGGCGCCGAGGCCCGCCCCGCGCGAGCGCGCCCGGCACGGCGGTTGGCGCCCGCGAGGCGGCGGCGGCGGCCTCCCCTGGGCTGAGCGCGCGCGCCGGCGCCGCCGCGTCCCCCCCGCCTGCGCAGTGGTGCGGCCCGCGGCGCGCGCACGTGTCCCGGCGGCGGCGGCGCGCGCGGTGCGGCCTGGGAGTGCGGGCGGCGAGGCGCAGCGTCGGGCCCATGCAGGAGGCCGAGAGCGTGGCGGCCGGCGAGGACCGGGCCGGCGAGGACCGGGCCGGGGCGGAGCGGGCGGCCGAGCGGGCGGCCGAGGGCGCGGCCGCCGAGGACCCCGGCGCGGAGCTCCCCGCCGCTGCCGAGCCGCAGCCGGCCGAGCCCCCGCCGCGCGAGCACGCCGCCCCGCCCGAGCCCGAGCCCGAGCCCCGCGCGCTGCAGAACGGCGACGCCGACGAGCCCTCCTTCAGCGACCCCGAGGACTTCGTGGACGACGTGAGCGAGGAAGGTGAGGACGCGTGGGGGGCGGCCGTCGGGGGGCCCGGGGCGCCGCGCTGAGCTCGGGGTGTCGGGGTGCGGGCGCCTCGCACGTGGGCAGGGTGTCCGGGCCGGGTGTCCGGGTGGCCGGGCTGGCTGTCGGGGGAGGGTGGCCGGGGAGGGTGGCCGTCCTGGGTGCCGTCGGGCGGCGGAGGGCCCCACCGTCCTTCCCCTTGCAGCCGCCTGCCGGCCTGTCCCGGCGTGCACGGGCGGGTCCGCTCCCCTTGAGGAGGGCAGGAGGGATCCCCACCCCACGCGCGGCTGCGTCCCGGCTGCCCACGTCCCTCGTGCTGGCCGGCTGCCTTCCCGGGCGGCCCTGCCGGCTGCGTTCTAGTCAGGCCGGGCTGCTTACGAACCTTGTAAATTCAGGCCAGGCCGAGCAGGCTCTGTAATTGCAGGGTGAGCGCTTTACGAGGAGCCGGGCTCGGGCTGCTCCCGCGGAAGGGGGCTGCCTGCCTTGCCCTGCTTGCTGGATCTTAGGCTTGCTTTGAGAGGCGCACAGCTGCAAGCGTCTTCCCGCACGAGGGGCCCTGAGCAGCGCCCACCTCGCAGGGCGCAGCCGGGGTCCTCTGTGGGTGCTGTTTGGAGCCGCTTCTGGGTCTCACGCGGGGACTGGCGCAGGGGGAGCCGGCGCCCCAACATGGCTGTTGATAGAGGTGTGACGGTGTTGGCTCTGAGGGGATGCTTTCCTCTTGAAAATGTTTGACTAGGAGAATTCCAGACCTGTACCTGCACTTCCCTTCTTATTTCTGAGAATGAAATGCAGCATATCTCTGCTGTGCATCAGATTTAGCAGGTTGGAACTCTCAAACGGAAAACCCTGGCCCGTTGCTGGCCTCTGGCGCAGGCTGCCCACGTCACTGAGCTCACGCCGGCAGAGTGCTTTAGGAAGTGCTTGGGGCCCGGCATGGTAGCCTAGCGGCTAAGGTCCTTGCCTTGAACTTGCTGGGATCCCATATGGGTGCCGGTTCTAATCCAGACAGCCCCAAAGCCTGGCACGTGCACTCCCGCGTGGGAGACCTGGAAGAGGCTCCTGGCTCCTGGCTTGGGATCGGCTCAGCTCTGGCCATTGCGGTCATTTGGGTAGTGAATCGTTGGATGGAAATCTTCCTTTTTGTCTCTCCTCTGTATGAACTGACTTTGCAATTAAAAAAAAAAAAAAAAGATGTGCCTAAGTGGAGCTCAGCACGATGGTGCAATGGTTAAACCTTGCAAGTGCCAGCACCCCACATGGGTGCCGGTTCATGTCCCGGCAGCTCCACTTCCCATCCAGCTCCCTGCTTGTGGCCTGGGAAAGCAGCGGAGAACGGCCCAAGGCCTTGGGCCCTGCCCCCGCGTGGGAGACCTGGGGCAGCTCCTGGCTTTGAGGTGCTGACCATCGCTCGGGGTGCTAATGGCACCCCAACACTGGCCAGCTTTTAGGCTTTCCAACGTGAGGGGCGTGAATGCAGAATGCACCGTGAGTGTACAAGTGGCAGCCCCATTCCAGGCCCCATGCCATAGTTCACACACCGTTCTCGTGTCTGTGGAAGGAGCCTCCCGTTGACGTGACTGGGGGGTCTCAGCTGTGGTGTGCTGGTCCCCAAGCCTGGCTGCGCCCCGCGGGGCCGTCGTGGAAGTGCCCGCACCTGTGGGTTCTCGCGGTGATTGCTCTGTTCTCTGATGAGCCAGACCCGCCAGTGGGGACGGCGCTGTCGCTGGCCAGTGGCGTCCATGGAGGCCTTGGTGGGACGTGTCAGGACCACAGCGCCTGCAAGGACCGAGGTGCCAGTGCCGCCTGGGGTGGGCGGTGTTGGAGACGGTCCCCCAGCTCTGGTCAGAGCGGGAGCGCCCCTTCACGCCAGACGGCGGCTGTGGCTTCCCTTTGTGACTGAGGAGGCGTGGGCTCCGGGCGGTGGACAGGGCTCCTCGGCCTTCATCGCTTGCTCATTTATTTTTGCTGAGAGACCGATCTTTTGTCAGCTGATTCACTCTGCAAGTGGCCTCGACGGCCAGAGCTGGGAACCTCTTCCGGTCTCCCACGCAGGTGCAGGGTCCCGAGGCCCTGGGCCGTCCTCGACTGCTTTCCCAGGCCACAGGCAGGGAGCTGGATGGGAAGTGGAGAGGCTGGGATGCGAACCCGCGCCTGCATGGGATCCCGGGGCGTGCACGGGGAGGATTTAGCCACTAGGCCTCCACGCGGGGAGTCCTTTCCGCCCCAGTTCTCTGGCGAGACTCCTCCCTCCGTCACGCCTGGCGCTGCTCACCCATGGGGAGAGCTTGGCTAAGATCTCTGAAAGCTGTAGCGTTTTGTTTCGCTGACATCGTAAAGGGACTTTGCCTAGGTGTTGCTTAGAAACCGTTCAGATTTCACTGGCTTTCGTAAGATCCAGCGTGGTTTTCTTTATTAAAGTCCCTTTTTACTATCCGTCTGAACCTTCCCGTGATGGGGAGATCGGCCGACCGCTGGCCGGAGTGTGAGAGTGGAGCCCCGGGCTCCTGGCACGGCGGGGTGCCCGGCTGCCATGGCGGCGTTCCGCAGGGAGGCCCTGACACGCTCCTCCCTGACCAGAGCTGCTGGGCGATGTCCTCAAAGACCGACCCCAGGAAGCCGACGGCATCGACTCGGTGATCGTGGTGGACAACGTCCCTCAGGTGGGGCCAGACCGGCTCGAGAAGCTGAAAAATGTCATTCACAAGATCTTCTCCAAGTTCGGCAAGGTCATCAACGACTACTACCCGGAAGAGGACGGGAAGACGAAAGGGTGAGTGTCCAGGTGCCTGGGCCGCCGTCCCCGCGGCCTCACCCCGCACCGCGTGCGTGTCCTGGCCCGCCTCCCTCGGGCATCCCTCCGGCACCGCGTGGCCTTCTGGCTGGTACCTGACACCGGGCTCGTTCTCTTTCAGTTGAAGTTTAGGAATTGGAGAGGAGTTTGTATTGATTAGGGAGGTACGCAGGTAGCTTCGTTCTGGTTTGCTTCCGTAGCGGGCAGTGCCAGGCTGAGGGTGAGGTCCTGGCACCTTGGCTCTGCTGTGAGCGCCAGGGCCGGGAACGGCCAGGGAGTGCGGCCTGGGCCTCGCGCCACTCGGTCAGGAAGTAGCTGAGTTTCTACAAAGATTTCTCAAATCAGTGTGATGCTGCCACCATTGTCTCCTGTGGGGAGGCTGGTGGCCCGGGCGTGTGCTGCGGACGGGACAACACGCCCAGCTCGTCCTCAGAGAGCCTGCCTGTCCCCAGTTAGAAACGGGGGTTAACATACCGCGTACAGGACTGTGGTGACATGATGAACTTGGAGTCAGAGCCTTCGTGGGGCTTCCTTCTAGTTGGGGTGTAGAGGAAGGGGGTCTGGGCCGAGCGCCCCGCCTGGCGGTGAGGCCCCGCGTTCCTCCTCAGGTACATCTTCCTGGAGTACGCCTCTCCCGCCCACGCCGTGGACGCCGTCAAGAACGCCGACGGCTACAAGCTGGACAAGCAGCACACGTTCAGGGTCAACCTCTTCACGGATTTTGACAAGTGAGTGCAGGCTGGGGCCTTCCGGGCCGCCCTGGGTCACGCTGCCCCGAGTTTCAGGCCGGGAGTCCCAGGCCCTGTCCCTGCCACCCGTGCCCCCGCCGCGTCCAGTGGGCACTGCTCAGCTGCTGCCTGTCCCCCAGGTACATGACCATCAGTGACGAGTGGGACATCCCAGAGAAGCAGCCTTTCAAAGACCTGGTGAGTGGTCCGAGGGCGCTCCTGCCGGGCCGTGGGCGGGCACGGTGCCTGCTGCCGGGCCGTGGGCGGGCACGGTGCCTGCTGCCGGGCCGTGTGGTTCACCCCTCTGTGGCCTCTTCCCAGGGCAATCTGCGGTACTGGCTTGAGGAGGCGGAGTGCAGGGACCAGTACAGCGTGATCTTCGAGAGCGGGGACCGGACTTGCATCTTCTGGAATGACGTAAAGGACCCTGTCTCCATCGAGGAGCGAGCGGTGCGTGCTCTGCCGCGGGGACCCTGCCCTCCCGGGGCCGACAGTGGGAGAGAGAGAGAGGGGTCTTCATTTGCTGCTTCACTCCCCAGCTGCCCAACCTGGCTAGCTGAGCCAGTCGAAGCCGGGAGCTGCCCTGGGCGCCCCGCGTGAGACATGGCCCCCCTGCTGGCTGACCCAGTCGAAGCCGGAAGCTGCCCTGGGTGCCCCATGTGAGGCAGGGCCCTGCTGGCTGACCCAGTCGAAGCCGGGAGCTGCCCTGGGTGCCCCGCGTGAGGCAGGGTCTTGCTAGCTGAGCCAGTTGAAGGTGGGAGCTGCCCTGGGCACCCCGTGTGAGGCAGGGACCAGTTGTGCACTGCTTTCCCCAGCCGTACGTAGGAAGCCGAGTCCAGTGACATCGCCTGGTGCTTGAATCTGCCCTCGAGGGGTCACAGTGTCACGGGTAACGGCGTCACCAGCGGATAAAAGCTCCGTAGGGGCTGCTCCATTGGGATCCGGCCCCTGCTGGTGGCCCACGTGTCTGGACTCATGCCTGTGTGGCAGAGCTGGACGAGCTCTGGGCCGTGGCACCTGTGGGCTGTGAACCAGTAGGTGGGAGATTGCTCTCCATCTCTGGAACGCTGCTTACGTGGGAAGGAAGCCATGACGCGTGCACAGGCTTGTCAGCAGCCTGGACTCGGGGCGGGCGGGGCGCCTGCTCTGCGCCCCCTGGGCCTCAGCATCCCTTTTCCTGCAGAGGTGGACAGAGACCTACGTGCGCTGGTCCCCAAAGGGCACCTACCTGGCCACCTTCCACCAGAGGGGCATCGCCCTGTGGGGCGGCGAGAAGTTCAAGCAGATTCAGCGGTTCAGCCACCAGGGCGTCCAGCTCATCGACTTCTCCCCCTGTGAGAGGTGAGCGCAGGCCGCGCTCGGGCACCTGCCCCGGCCTCCCCGCTTCGTCCTGTCGGGCTTGGAGAGGCTCCTTGGTCTGCACTCGGAGCTGTGACCAGGGCTCTGTGTGTGCTTGAGTGTGTCCCTAGGAATGGGAGGTTGTGGCCATCTGTTTTCAGGTAGCGTATGCGTGTCTGTAAGACCTGTTTGTTAATGCTGAAAGGGCAGCTTTTATGGGGAGGAGCAATAGAGAAGGTGTTCCACATGGTGGCTCACCTCTGCAGTGCTCAAAGCTGGGCTGGCCTGAGGCCGGGAGCCACCTCTTGGCCTTCCACGCGGGTGCGTGGGGCAAGGACTTGGCCGTCTTTCACAGCCCTGGGTCATAAACAGGGAGCTGGATGGGAAGTGGAGCAGCCAGGCCACAAGCCAGTACCCGCACAGGATGCAAGTGCTTGCAGCTAGATTAGCCATTTGAGCTATAGCACCAGGCCCGGCATGTATTGTAGAAATGGATTTGCTGGTTGGCAGGGGTGGGGCGGGGAGGGCGAGAGCTTGCGTTGACTGGCTTGCTCCTCAGTCTGTTGCGGTAGGCAGGGCTCAGGTGAGGAGCTTTGCCTGCTGGCAGTCCCACGCATGTGGGCCGTCAGTAGGAAGCTGGAGCCCAAGTGCAGAGTTGGCCTGAGCGGGACGTGGATGGGCTGCTGGCACTGCAGGCCACCTTCCCCACCGCCCACACGTCGGGCGTGTTTGCTGCAGGGTGACACTGGGGGCCTTGGCGCTGTCGTCTCCCTGGGGGCCTCGCTTGGCCCAGCCTCCCGCTCCTGCCCGTGGGGTACACTTGGGCTCAGTCTGTGGCCCCTGGCTTAGGACCGGCCCGACTTACCGGCAGTTGGAAACTGTGTTGTGTGTCTCTCTGCCTCTCTGAAAGATTGTGTGTACAAAATAGGGTCCCGGCCCTTCATTTCTGGTAGGTTCCTTCGGACAGGCCGCTCCATCTGTGTACTGTGGACGTGTCAGGTCACACCTGCTGCGTGGCTGCAGCTTGTCTGTGGCGTGTCACAGAAGAGCAGCTGGTGCTCAGTAGCCTGGGGGCGCAGCGCGGAAAAGCTCCTCGAACTGCTTAGATCTAGTTCAGGGACGGCCCTTCTGGTCTCAGTAAGGAGCTGGGGACCTGATGGAAGCCATTGCTGTCGGCAGAGCCCCCCAGCTCTGTTAGGATGTCGGGGCCCCGGGCCGAGCCCCTCAGCTCTGTCAGGATGTCGGGAGCCCGGGCTGAGCCCCTCAGCTCTGTCAGGATGTCGGGGGTCTGGGCTGAGCCCCCAGCTCTGTTGGCTTGTGTGGGTCTTGCGGCAGCAGGTGGCTGGACTGGAGCTGTGAGTCGGGGTCGGCCGTGCACTGGGCTGGGCTTTGTGGTCGGAAGTGCTCGTGCCCTGGCCCCGTGCCTGTCGTCGGTCTCGGGCTGGTGGCGGAGTGCATCGGGGGCGCACAGTGCTGCCGCGGGGCGAGTGAGCGCCTTGCGCCGTGGGGTGCTCATCAGCCCCCACCCGCGGCGTGGCGTCCTCACTGAGCACACGGTGTGGGCAGAGTGAGGACGCAGTGCCCCTGCCCCGCAGGTACCTGGTGACCTTCAGCCCCCTGATGGACACGCAGGACGACCCCCAGGCCATCATCATCTGGGACATCCTCACCGGGCACAAGAAGAGGGGCTTCCACTGTGAGAGTTCTGCCCACTGGCCCATTTTTAAGTACGTAAATGGGAGGGGGCGCCCTGCTGGAGGCGTGTTCTCCCCGTGGCTGCCCAGCACTTCCTCGTCCTCCTCCTCCTCCTCCTCCTCCTCCTCCTCAGGTGGAGCCACGACGGGAAGTTCTTCGCCAGGATGACCCTCGACACCCTGAGCATCTACGAGACCCCCGTGAGTGCCCTGGGCAGTGGGTGCTGGGTGGCTCACCGCTCTCCTTTGCTGCTGCAAGCTCTCACCAGTTGCACCCTCTTGTTTTGGGCAGTCCATGGGCCTGCTGGATAAGAAGAGTCTGAAGATCTCAGGAATAAAGTAAGTGTGCGAGGGACACTGCTGTGTGCTGGCCCCCGGCCACCCGCCACGTCTCAGCCCCTCTCGGAGCCAGGCTCCCGTCCCCGGTGCCTGGGCGTGGGGCGGCTTTGGTCGGCTGCAGCTTCTCTTGCAGTCACGGGAGACTGGACGAGGCCGGCACTGTGCAGTGAGTTCAGCCTCCGCCTGCAGTGCTGGCTTGTGCCCCAGTTGCAGTCCAGCTCCCTGGTGATGCCTGCAGGAGCAGTGGACGATGGCCTGAGTGCTGGGGTCCCTGCCTCCACGTGCGTGACCCCGCTCCTCGCTCCTGGCTGTGGCCTCGCCCGCCCTGGCCACTGCGGCCACTTGGGGAATGGACCAGTGGGCCTAGGCTCTGGCTCTAACTGCCTTTCAGGGGAAGGAGCGAGCCTGGAGCAGGGCTGACTCAGCCGTGGGGTGCAGCAGGCACGTGCAGCGTGCTGGTCACGTTCATGAGCTCGCACAGAGAGCAGCTGCTCCCGCCCCGTCCTTGTCCCTTGGCCTCGTCACAGCCGTGTGGTGGCCGAGTGTGGGAGGGCTGTGCGTTAGCGGGTGGAGCGTGGACGGTGAAGGCCAGTCCTTGGGCACAGCTCTGCGTTCTGTGTCACTTCTGCCCACTTGACCACTCGGTGTCTTGTTCTCCAGAGACTTTTCCTGGTCCCCTGGTGGCAACATTATAGCCTTCTGGGTGCCCGAAGACAAGGACATTCCCGCCAGGGTGACCCTGATGCAGCTGCCCAGCAGGCAGGAAATCCGGGTGCGGAACCTCTTCAACGTTGTGGACTGCAAGCTGCACTGGCAGAAGAACGGGGACTATCTCTGTGTGAAAGTGGACAGGACGCCCAAAGGCACGCAGGTGCGCGGGGCCACGGGCGGGGCCAGGCGCTTGCTGGAGGGTGCTCGCGGTGTCCTTGAGGCCTGCGGGGATGACCAGGGCTCTCGGGGCCCCAGTGGGGTGCAGCTTACGTCTCGGTCCCCCGTGGGTGGCAGCAGTTCAGGTGCTGTGCCGTTGGCTGTAAGGTGAAGCAGCTGGGACTCCACGTAACGTGCAGGTGTCTAAGGCGGGAGCTTAGCGTGCTGTGCTACCATGCCAGCCCCTCCACTACGCCCGCCTTCTGGGCACACAGCTGCCCGGCGGGGGGTGGTCAGTGACTCCCGTGTTGTGTAAGCACGTGTCACCCGTCTCCACTCGGGGGCTTCCAGGCGCATCACGTGAGGCCCACCCCACCAGAGCGCAGCTGGCGTTGAGCTGGGAGTTGCTTACCATGCAGTGGTCAGCCAGTGTGGAGGCTGTCGCAGACATGGTGGCACGCAGCCAGAACTGTGCCTGGCAGGTGTCACCACAGGCCCTCTGGCTCCTGGCAGCTGTGTGCAGCAAGAGGGCTGACGGTGTGCTCCGTTGCTGGGCCAGGCACACTGTGGACGCTGATGGGCCGTGCAGAGTGTGACTGCGGGCCACAGCCCGTGACAGTCCCCAGCCACGGATCCACGGCACACTTTGGGACCGGCGGGGCGTGGCAGGTGGCACCGGGAAGCCCTGGGTGCTGGGTTGGCCCCGGCCTGCCTTCCGAAGGCTTTCAGTAGTGGTCAGGCCGGTTTGTTCCACCACGGGGGCTGCGGCCGTCACCTCAGCTGTTCATGGGGTTAGGTGTGTAGCTTGCCTTTCTTACACCTTCAGTTTTAGAATCACCGTTTTTTTAAAACAGGGTGTTGTCACAAATTTTGAAATTTTTCGAATGAGAGAAAAGCAGGTGCCCGTGGACGTGGTGGAAATGAAAGGTCAGTTTCGTCTCATTGTGGGTGGCTGTGTCGGCTGTGCAGCCCAGAGCTGCTCACGAGCTGGGCTGCCGGGCGCTGCCCCTGCAGGTGCCCCGCTCTGCGAGCCCACGGGCTGGCCCAGAGCCTGTAGTCTGCGTGTGCTGAGCAGGTGCTCGGCCCGAGTAGCTGCTGTTTATCCCGAGGTTTGGGGTGCTCCTTGAGTGTTGCCTGTGCTGTCCCCAAGCAGTGAGCAGCTCCGAGCTGCTTGTCCCGTCGGGGAACTTGGCGCGTACTCTCCAGTTTTCATGTTTGCCTGGAGAAAGCTCCCTGGCCACCTGGCCATGCTGCCCGCATGGGACACGGGGAGCCTCTCTCCCACCCTGGCCATGCTGCGTGCACGGGGCGTGGGGCAGCCTCTATCCCGCCCTGGCCATGCTGCCTACACGGGACATGGGGGAGCCTCTATCCCACCCTGGCCATGCTGCGTGCACGGGGCACGGGGAGCCTCTATCCCGCCCTGGCCATGCTGCCCGCACGGGGCGTGGGGCAGCCTCTATCCCGCCCTGGCCATGCTGCCCACACGGGGCACGGGGAGCCTCTCCTCCGCCCTGGCCATGCTGCCCGCACGGGGCACAGGGAGCCTCTTCTCCGCCCTGGCCATGCTGCCCGCACGGGGCACGGGGCAGCCTCTCCTCTGCCCTGGCCATGCTGCGTGCACGGGGCACGGGGCAGCCTCTTCTCCGCCCTGGTCATGCTGCCTGCACGGGGCAGCCTCTGTCCCACCCTGGCCATGCTGCCCGCACGGGGCACGGGGCAGCCTCTCCTCTGCCCTGGCCATGCTGCCCACACGGGACATGGGGGAGCCTCTCTCCCGCCCTGGCCATGCTGCGTGCACGGGGCGCGGGGCAGCCTCTATCCCGCCCTGGCCATGCTGCCCGCACGGGGCACGGGGCAGCCTCTCCTCTGCCCTGGCCATGCTGCCCGCACGGGGCACGGGGCAGCCTCTCCTCCGCCCTGGCCATGCTGCGTGCACAGGGCGCAGGGAGCCTCTCCCACCAGCGAAGTCTAGGGCGCCCTCTGTGGGCCGCGCCGCACGGTCGGCTTGAAACCAGCCCACTCTCTGGGTTCTCTTGGCAGTTTTTTGGGGCGTCACATCCCGCTGGCTGGGCAGTCCCACCATGTCCCAGGCCACGCAGGACAGAGCTCCCACGGTCCAGAGTGGGAGAGACCCAGCAGGGGGCAGAGGACAGCTTCACTCGGGCAATCCCCTTGTGGCCGCTGCTCTTGAAGCTCTGGCAGGAAGGGGTCTCGGGAGCGGTGCTGCTGACGCGCGTCTCGTTGCTGCGCAGAGCCCATCATCGCGTTTGCCTGGGAGCCCAACGGCAGTAAGTTCGCTGTGCTGCACGGGGAGGCTCCACGTATCTCCGTCTCCTTCTACCACGTCAGGAGTAACGGCAAGATCGAGCTCAGCAGTGAGTGGCCCGGCCTCGGGGGCTGGGAGGGAAGGGGAGCAGCCGGGACACGGACTGGGCCCATGTGGGATCCTGGCACGGACGAGGCCGAGCCTCTAGCCACTAGGCTACGGCGCTGAGCCCCTGAATGTCCTCTCAGCATTTTAAATCAATTCATTTGAATGGCAGAGAAAAAATGTCTCCCAAATCTGCTGACTGGTTTACTCCCAAAATGTGTTCAACAACGAGGGCTGGACCCAGGAGCCTGAGCTCAGTCAGATCTTCCTGTGGAAGGATCTAGATGCAGCCACCTGCACCGTCAGCACTGCCTGCCAGGGCCCCTTGGCTCTGAGAAGCCTGCCCTGTCACACAGTGAGCTGTCCTTTCCTGCAGGCCGGGAGGGCGGGCAGCCGGGTTCCCTGTCGCTGGGCACCGCAGGCTCGCCTGGGTTAGGGTGCTTGTGATGTGTGCTGTCAGGGCCATGCTCTCTGTCCAGCTAACATGAAGTGAAGGTTCTGCATTGCACCTTTCCCCGCATGCCCCTAGCTTCAGGCATGCGGAGTGTTGGTGCGGCCAAGGCAGAGGTGTGGGAGATCGCTGGCAGTGGGCACAGACTTTGGAGTCACGATGCCTTCCTTCCTTCCTTCCAGAGATGTTCGACAAGCAGCAGGCAAACACCATCTTCTGGAGCCCCCAGGGACAATTCGTGGTGCTGGCTGGCCTGCGGAGGTGGGTGGCCCGGCCAAGTCCGTCTCGGCAGCTGCCCTGCTGCCCCACAGCTCTGGGCGCTGTGCTGTAGGGTGGTCCCTAGGAGAGGTGGGCGTGTCCTTGGTCAGAAGTCTGTTTTGGGAGCCGGGCCTTGGGGTGACAGGTACCCCTGACCTACGGCTCTCCCTCAGCGACTGCAGACCGGGGTGTGGTGTGGGAAGTCCTGGGCGCTCCTGTCGCCGGGGAAGGCTCGGACAGTTCCTTTGCCTCTGGCCATGCACCAACGAGAGTGCACGCTGGCACTCTGCCCTCACTTCCTGCTTTGCGGTAGGCCCGGGGCACGCGGCACGGGATTCCCGTAAATATGGCAGGCTGGATTTTAGTGAGTGCTTTTGTGCGGCCCTCAAGTGCTGGCACTGTGCAGATGGCCCTTAGCAGGAGAGGGGCTCGGCGTGCCTACTGTGGGGGCACTGCTGCCACCCGCAGCCTGCTCCTCCCGCGCGGATGCCGTCCTGACCCTGGGAGCCGCGGGGGCCGCGGGCCTGCAGCGCTGCCCCCTGTGCTGGCCGTCACCTCGTGCCCCTCCCCCCAGCATGAATGGTGCCTTGGCGTTCGTGGACACCTCCGACTGCACGGTCATGAACATCGCGGAGCACTACATGGCCTCTGACGTTGAGTGGGACCCGACCGGGCGCTACGTGGTCACCTCTGTGTCCTGGTGGAGTCACAAGGTGAGGCCATCGAGGCTGGCGGCCGTCTCCCCCTGGTCTCCTTAGGGGAAGCGTTTGTTGCTGTTACCCTCTGCGTGTTTAGCAAAAGACGTCAGGTTGGTGGCAGGGCGTTGCTAGGATTCCGAGCTGGCGGGGCAGGCGGGCCTGCCTGGGGGAGCCCAGGACCCCTGGGAGTGGGGAGAAGCAGCCAAGTGTGAGCATTTTCCTGCGGGGTTGGAGGTCCCTGTGCAGCATACTCCTCAGGTGGTGCTCAGCAGGCGTGGGATCGTGGGTGCAGGGCCGCCACGGCCTGCGGGCTAACGTGGGGAGATCTGTGGTAGCTCCCAGGTCCACGCCACGTTGTGTGTGAGCACTAGGCTTGCTGAGTGCGCTTGGCTGACGGCACGGCAGATCCGTGATATGGAAGCAGAGTTGAGGCAGGCGGCGCCCGGGGCTTGGAGAGTGCAAGAGCGAGAGCGACCCTAGCATCTGGGGCTGGTCAGTGAGGGGATCTGTGTCAGCAGTAAGTTAAGGATTGTCACTTGTTTGGACAACGTAAGACAACAGGTTAATGTGTCAGAAATACCCATGATAATCAGCAAGAGCGGTTGAAAATAATGATTTTTGGTTTTTGTTTTTCGATCCCGTATCGGCCCACCTAAAGCCTGTGTCGCCATCCCCAAGGCAGGCGCCCTTGCCTGTGCACCCATGTCGTTTGCTTGCCCGGGGCTTGCGGTGGGCCAGTCTGATGGCTGACTTCAGGTCGCTTCTCCAGCAGAGGGCGCCCCAGGCGCTGCCTCTTCAGGAAGACAGAGCAGAACTGGGCGGGGTGGGTGGAGGTGGAGGCTATTTGCTGCCCTGGCCTCTTGTCGCAGACCGGTTAGTGGGCTGTGCCCTGAGCATGCTGTCGGCCCCGTGGGCACGGTGCTCCAGGCCACTCTGCTGGATTGTGGGCAAAGCAGGGCTCCCAGCTCCTCCACTGGTGCCCTCACCCTGAGCCCCCATCAAGTGAGTTGATCGTGCCACTGGCCTCGGTGCTGCTGGGCAGTGTGGGGCAGCTTGGCACGGCCATTGCTGTTGCAGGTGGACAACGCCTACTGGCTGTGGACCTTCCAAGGCCGCCTTCTGCAGAAGAACAGCAAGGATCGCTTCTGCCAGCTGCTGTGGAGGCCCCGGCCACCGACTCTCCTCAGCCAGGAGCAGATAAAGGTACTGCCAGCGTCGGGCCGGGCGTGCGCTCCGAGAGCCGAGGGGCACGGGCAGCTGCTTCGCATGGGAAATGGAAACTGCCGGGCTGCCTTGGCTTCTTGCTTGGCCGGGGGGGGGGGGGGGGGGCGTGATGCCCACGGATTGTGAAGTCCCTGGTGGGTTTGGGGTTAAGAAGGCAGAGCTGGGCACTGCGTGAGGGGGCACAGGACACAGCCGGGAACAGCGTGAGTCGCAGAGCCTCGGGCCTGGCAGAGCTGGTGCTGGGAGCGGTGTGTCCCTCCCGAGGACGTGAGCTGGTCGGTGGCTCTGGCGTTGGCTTAATCTGACTGACTGGTCTTTGTTTCAGCAAATTAAAAAGGACCTGAAGAAGTACTCCAAGATCTTCGAGCAGAAGGACCGCCTGAGCCAGTCCAAAGCGTCCAAGGTGAGCCTCTTGCCAGGGCGGTGCTGTGGCGGGTGCCCGAGGCGGGCCGGTGCCCCGTGCCTGTTCCCTGACTGCGCTGTCTGCCTAGGAACTGGTGGAGAGGAGGAGGGCTATGATGGAGGACTTCCGAAAGTACCGGAAGGCGGCCCAGGAGCTCTACGTGGGGCAGAAGAATGAGCGTTTGGAGCTGCGAGGAGGTGAGCAGGGGCTTGGGAGGCACCCAGCTCCGGGGCGGCTCCCCGGGTGCCTGGCTGCGTGGCCTGGAGGCCGCCCACAGTCAGTGCGCCCGGCCCATGCACACCGCCTGTCCTCTCCGCAGGCGTGGACACGGATGAGCTGGACAGCAACGTGGACGACTGGGAGGAGGAGACCATTGAGTTCTTTGTCACCGAGGAAATCATCCCTCTAGGGGGTCAGGAGTGACGGGCGTGCCCGTGCGGTGAGCATGGACCCTTTGCTGCTGCCCCTGTCAGTCAGGTCAGGCAGACAAGGCATGGAGCGACCCGTCCCTGGGCCAGAGGGGGCTGCAGGGGACACACGAGAGGGGCTCCCCAGCAGCACTGGTCAGTCCTGGCCCAGATCCTCCCCAGGTGGGTGGCGAGTGCTGGGCACATGGCGTCCTATGTAATAGCAGGATCCTCTGGCCACATGGCCCGGAGTGGCTCACGACCTTGAGCAGGCCGCACGTTGCCCAGGGCAGGCAGAGAGGTTTTAGGGTCTCAGCCCTTTGTGGTGGTCGCATCAAGGGTGCTCCCTGTGTTCCAGCCCCGTCACCGCCGGGCCAGGACAGAGTCTTCGCCTGTGGAAGTCAGCTAGCGCCTGCCGTGCGGCCCGTGCCCACTCGGCTCCCCACGTCCACTCTGTGCCTTCAGACCTCTGGGTCCTCAGGAGGGGAGGCTTGAGGCACCGCCTGCCCTCGGGGGCTCCCTCCACGCCGCCAGGATCTGCTGCTCGGCCTCCACAGGTTTCCGGGTGTCCGTTCCAGGGCTGCGGGCTGCTTCCGCCTGCCGACTCCTGTCCTGTGGGGCCTGCGTGGAGACAGGGAGGGGGCGTGTCCCGCATGCAGGCGGGGCAGGTTCTCTGAGCAGGTTGAACGTGGAAATAAAAGCCTGTGTGACACAGCCGCCTTTTCTCTGTCTGCACGTTGAGAGCGGGCTCGACCTCGGCCGGGCTCTCGGGAAGGGCGCTAGGCCTGGCCTCCTGCAGGAAAGCCCGCCTAGGCTTCCCCGAGTGCCAAGGTGTCCCTGCATTCTTTGAAGTCGAGTTTCTGTGCCCCATAGCTGCTCCCCCATCACGCCCGGCCAAGCACAACGCTTCCTGGACCTGGTGTGGGGGGTGCAAGGTATTGGGTGCTAGCCGTGCCCTCACGTGAACACTGACAGCCTTTGGGGTTCACATTGCATTGAACTCACTGTTCTGTAACGTGAGCCAGTGGCTCAGTCACATCTGAATGTCCTGTGTGTAGCTGCCTCACCCTGGGGGTGCCCTTCCTAACCTGGCCACATGGCCAAGGGTCCTCTCGCAGGGAACTGCTCCTGGCTGTCTCCAGGAGGCCTGGGCAGGTCCTCAGCACTTCCTTGTGCCCGGAGACTAGCCCCTGCACGGGGTGGAAGGGGCTGGGGTGGTGGGGACTGCCTCCCTGCCCGAGTACCGAGCTGGCTCGGACCCCAGGGAAAGGACCAACCCCCACACCCTCTGCCTGCTGACCGATAACTGCCAAATGGCAGGAAGCGTGTCCACGTGGACGGGAGGGGCTGCCAGGACCTGGTGTGTGCGAGTTGTGTTGCTGGACTGATCCTCAAGGGTCCTGTCCTCATGTGGTCTGTGACGCTGTGCCGGGCAGGGCCGGGCCAGCTGGCCGTGCCTCCACTCACCCGGGCGCAGTGGGAGAGCCGAGCGCTACATTGAAGCAGTGGCACATCTCAGCCGTGGCGTGCGGTGTGGGCGTCTCGAGCGTGGCACGGTGCCAGCTGTGGCGTGCGGTGTGGGCGTCTAGAGGACTGGGCTTGTGCCTGGAGTGACTGCTGCCAGGCTTCATGGCCCTGTGATGTGCCGTGCAGAGGAGCAGGCAGGCTCCCTGTGGACCAGGCACATTCCTAGGGGAACAGACTGGGTTCTGTGGTAGCCCAGGGGCTGCCCTGCTCCCCGGGACCCACCTGCACACGTGAGCAGGGCCCCAAGAACAGGGGTGGCAAAGCTGACTTGGCCAGCTAGATCCCAGTGCTCGCTCCGCCCCCTCCCGCTGGGGCCCAGCTGACGTCACCGGGGCGGGGCGGGCCAGGGCTGGGCAGACAGGTCTCCTTGCCTCCACCTCCCCCAGGACAGCAGGGAGACTCCCAGCTGCTGTGTGCCCTCCTGCCAGGCAGCTGGCCCTGCGTGGCCGGGCCTTGAAGGCATGGAATACAAGGACCAGCAGCTGGTGGTGAGCCCCCTCGAGTCCCCCACACCCCTCAACTAGGGCCAGCCCTGCCCCTGAGGTCTGGGACCCAGCACTGCCCTCCTCACCCCAGGCCCCAGGACATAGCCTGGGCCGTGTCCACCAGGGGAGGAGATCTGGAGGTTAGGGGCTCGTAAGCACGGTCGGTCAGCTGCTGCTTCACTTGCGGATGACCACAGCAGTCACGGCTGGGTCAGGTGGAAGCCAGGGGCCCAAGCACTTGGCCTTTCCCCACTGCTTCTGCCAGGCCGTTAGCAGGGAGTCAGGTTGGAAGGGAAGCAGCTGGGACCTGACCTCACGCCCATGAGGGCTGCTGGCGTCTTGGTCAGCAGCATGACCTGCTGCACTACAGCACTGGGCTTGCACCCACCCATGTGGAGAGCTGGGGCTCAGGGTCCATCCTTGGGGTGCGGCAGGCCGGGTGCCGTGTCCCTCGCCCCTCGGTGCCTCTGCCCCCCCAGCCCTGGGGTGAGGGGAGCCATCAGCAGGGACTTCCCCAAAGGGCCCCCACCGTCACAGAGCCTGCTGAGCCTTGGGAGCTGGGGGTCCTCTCCTGCCCGCAGGTGGCACTCCGAATCCGCCCACTCAGCGACGTGGAGCTGCAGGACGGTGCCACCATCATCGCTCACAAACTGGGGGACCAGGTGAGGCTGAGGGGTGCCCAGGATGTGACTACAGCAACCACAGAGTGTACCTGGCTCTCACGCCTTGGCCAGGCTGACTTCATGGCAGAGCCACACGGGGCCTAGACTCCCGCCACACTACTCAAGATCGGGAGACAGCACAGGAATTGTATGGCATCCCACATGGGGTGCCAAGGATGGTCTGAGGCAGTGAGCTTGGGGCAAGGTCCAGCAGGTGGCGGTCAGGTGGGGGCAGGAGTGGAATGAGAGGACTCGACCGTTTCCAAGTCATGTCTGTGTCGCGGGAGGCCATACAATGACGCAGCTCTGTGCCATGAGCACCACGCCCGAGGCTGTGGACATGCGCGGGCCTTGGTGTTCATTTGCAAGAACGTGTCAGATTGGGGTAGCAGTTCTCCCCACTTGTGAAAAAGCCCAGCCAAGGATGCAGGGTGAGGGTAGAGGGAGCTCCCAGTCCCCAGGACGAGATGCAGTGGGCCACCTCCCAGCGTCCCGTGTGGTTGGCAGAGGACAGGCACCAGGGGAAGATGTATGCCCGCCCCGGGCAATGCTCATGTGGACTGAGAGGGACTGACGTCAGGGCGCCTGGGCGCAGGGCCTGCTGCGCGCCACGAAAGGCTGGCTCTGAGACCCACCAGAGCTTGTGTTTCCAGAAGCTGGTGACACATCCACCTGGTTCATTTGTAAAGTGAAGAATTCAGTGACATGCCCACTGCTGCGCACCTCACTCCAGAAATGACACTGCAAAATGTCACCCCAAAAGGACCCCACGCCCTGTCCCTTGCTGGCAGCCTGTCGGGGTCCCCCGCGCCTCATCCCTCTGCCTCACCAACATCTAGCACGTGGTGTAGCCTCCCTGAGTAACAGCAGGCTCCCTCACCTTTAAGGGCCCAGACACACTTGTCCTGGCTGCTCCCAGGGACCCATGCGCGGCTCAGCAGGCAGTGAGGCGCTGCCTGCCAGCGTGCCTGTGCATGGCTCCCATGCGCGTGCCTCTCGGTCCAGCCTCAGCCGGGGCTCCCAGCGTGCCCACCGTGATGCTCTCAAGCCAACAGCAGATAGTGCTGCTTCAGATTATTTGAGAGGGATTGACACATGTCGCAAGTGTGCTGGTTCACCCCCAAATGCCTGCAGTGGCCAGGTCCAGACAGCCAGGAGCCAGGAATTTCATCTGCGTCCCCTTCAGGGATGGCAGGGTCCAAAACACTTGGGCTTCATCTGCTGGTGTCCCAGACGCATGGGCGGGGAGTGGAAGCAGAGCGGAGCAGCCAGGACCCAGCTCCCATGTGCATGCTGGGAGCACCCCGACCAGGAGCACACCCTTGTTTACATAACAGTGCTGCCTGCGGGTGGGTTCCTTTGCTACCTCCATTTTGCAGGCCAGGGAGCTGAAGAGACCAGGCCTCCACCAGTTGGAGCGGTGGGAGCCAGGAGCACAGGGGCCGTGTGGGGGAAGTGCCTGTCGCCCCATCCTTTACACTTGGGTTTCTTGGAGGCAGAGGCAGCAGGTGGCCTGTGTCATGGGGCAAGGGCTGGACAGAAGCCAGGAGTTGCCCAGGGGAACCCGGGTCTGCCCCTGCATTGGCTGCCTGAGAAGCCCTGGCAAGGGACCTCAGTTCCCAAAGCCGTGAACCAGGGGAGGGTGAGCAGGGTCCTAGTCCTACCCAGCAGCACCCGCACCCACTCTGGCTCCTCTGAGCTGCCCTGACCCTTCCCCACACACACCAGTTCCCTGGGGAGGTTCCTTTGAACCCGTGTCCCCAAAGTCCCTGATGTGAGATCACAGATTCTGGGGCCAGCCTGGTGCGAGGAACCATGTGGGGGGGCAGTGCAGGGCCCTCCTGCAGTGCTCAGTGGCTCTGCCAGCAGCTGGGCAGGGGGAAGACAGTGTGCTGTGTGCAGGGGGAGGAGGGCGCCCCGTGTGCAGTGAGAGGGGCTGCCAGCAGCTGGGCAGGGGGAGGAGTGCGCCCTGTATGCATTGGGAGGGGCTGCTGTCCTTGGCGTGTGCGTGTGGGTGCTGGGCTGCTGTCCTTGGCGTGTGCGTGTGGGTGCTGGGCTGCTGTCCTTGGCGTGTGCGTGTGGGTGCTGGGCTGCTGTCCTTGGCGTGTGCGTGTGGGTGCTGGGCTGCTGTCCTTGGCGTGTGCGTGTGGGTGCTAGGCTGCAGGTGTGGAGGCATTGACTCCAAAGGCAGGCAGAGCCCGAGGCCTGCGGGCCCTCTCTGGCCTGGGCCTGGGGCACCACAGGCTCTGAGCTGCCCCCCTCTGCCCACTGCCCACCTTGCTGCACTCCCAGGTGCTGGTGCTCATGGACCCCGGTGAGGACGTTGAGGACCCGCTGCGTGCCCACCGGTCCCGGGAGCGGGCCTTCATCTTCGACACCGTGTTCGACCAGCATGCCTCCCAGGTGCCCGCCTGCCTCCTCCCTGCCCCGTGGGGCCAGGTCATGCCTTGGGAGGACCTCAGAGCCAAGCAGCCCAGAGTGTGACAGGTGCCAGCCTGGGCCCCGACGTCCACGGTGACCACCAGGTGCTTCCTGAGTGGGGCCAGGATCACTCCCTGGAGGCACAGCGCCACCTGACCTACAGGGGCACCTGGGGGAGAGGGGAGCAGGAGTTTTAGCACGACCAGAGCCACAGCTGCAGGCCTGCTTGGCACCAGGGGCAGTCACTGCCCAAACTCTGCTGGGCTTCCTGTCCTGTTTGTGCCCCAGAACACATCGGGGGGGCGGGGGGGAGAAGGCTTGCAGGTGCTCGATGCTGCCCTCCCAGACTCGGCTCAGGCTGTCCTGGAGACCTGTGTGCTATGCATCCGTAGGAGGAGGTGTACCGTGCCACCACCCAGCATCTGATAGAAGGCGTCGTTTCTGGGTACAACGCAACTGTGTTTGCCTACGGTCCCTCAGGTACAGTTTCTGGGCAGGTGCCCCGGTGGGAACGGGGTTGGGGCCATGAAACTCCAGCAGTTTGAGGCACCTACTGTAGGTGCTAGAGGACAGGTGGCTGACTCTGCACCCCGAAGGTGGCGTCTCCATGGTTACACGATTGCCAGGGCAGTGATGCAGGAGGTGAACTCGAGCCGTTGCTTGGCTGCCATGGGGGAGCCACGCATGCAGTCTGACTTGCAGCGGAGGCCGATGAGTATCCAGACAGCCAGACTACCTGGGCATCCTGGAAACTGGAAGGGCACAGTCCTGAGCAGTGCCTGGCCACGTCTCGGCTCGCTGGTCACTTGGGCTCCCAGAGGGAGAGAGACTTGGACGTCTTCCTTTGTGGGACAGAAAGGCGGAGTGGGGAGACGTGGTCCAGAGCGCGCCCCTTCAGGGAGTGTGACCTGTTCACCCATACTGTGACCTGTAAGCCAATGCGGACGTCCTCAGAGTCGGGAGAGAAGACCGGCCACCGTGGTTCTGCCGGTTGCCCCTGGTATTGCCACTTGGGCACCCTGGGTCCATGTGCCCAGCCTTTCTTCCACAGCCACCACACTGTACAGTGTCTTTCCAAAGGAAAAACCCGTTGTGTCCAAGGGCCCAGGGCTGTGAGCAGCCCCTGCCACCCACACAGGTTTCTCTCTGCTGTCACGTGAGACCTCCAGAGGCCCTGGCCCCGGCAGGTGTCTCGCTCCTCCCGCAGGCGCAGGGAAGACCCACACCATGCTGGGCATGGACGCAGAGCCCGGCATCTACCTGCAGACCCTCAGCGACCTCTTCCAGGCCATCGAGGAGGGCCGCGAGGACGTGGACTGCAGTGTGTCTATGTCCTATTTCGAGGTGAGCCTTCCTTCTTGGCTCAGGGGTCAGGAGCCCAGGCTGAGTGGTCCTGTGCCCATCAAGTGCAGCTGTGGGTGGCACGCGTGTCACTGCGCCCCAGGCTGGCAGGCCAGGTGGAAGCCTCGCTCTCAGGCCTGAGACTGCTGTGGGCCAGACACATTCTTTCACTCCAGGGTGACTGTTCCCCACCTTTCCAGATCTATAACGAGGTGATTCGGGACCTGCTGAACCCATCCTCAGGGTGTCTGGACCTGAGGGAAGACGCCAAGGGCAGCATCCAGGTGGCAGGTGTCACGGAGGTCTCCACATCCAACGCCCAGGAGGTGAGGCGCACACAGCACAGCTCCCTACCTGCTGGAGCGAGCCGTGCAAGGCCGGATGCGCAGCCTCCAGCTCCCGAGGCCGGCGGGACACCTGCACCGCGTCTGGTTCCCTCTGCCTCCTGGTGCGGGCCAGCGGGACACCTGCACCGCCTCTGGTTCCCCCTGCTTCCTGGTGCGGGCCACCTGCACCGCGTCTGGTTCCCCCTGCCTCCTGGTGCGGGCCAGAATCCCCGTCAACCCCGAGGTGGCTCAGCTCTGGACGTCATTACCATCCCTGATCCTGGTCATTGTCCTTGACTGAACAAGTTGTAAATGCTTTTGCAGCCGGCCCACCTCCCCGTCGGCTGAGACTGTATTGCGTGTCTCCTTGTGGTCCCCGGAGCCCGTCCTGACTCCTGCACCCTCGGCCCTCCCTGGCCGTGTGCCCTGTGGCGCTGGCTCAGGCCCTTGCTGGCTTCTCTGGTGGGCTTGGGCTGGAGGCTGGCCTTAACAGTGACTGTCAGCCGCTCTCTGTACTCTGCTGGGTGGTCAGAGTCTAACACACTGAATGGGTGCCCCCGGGCCTCGTCAGCTGCACGGCCAGTGGGCTCCGGCCTGGCCTGCTGCTCGCAGAGGTGGCTGGAGGGGCCCGGTCAGGCCGTCCGGTCACCATGGTCCAGCGGGGTACTTCCGCTCTGTCCTCAGATCATGCAGCTCCTCACCAAGGGCAACCGGCAACGCATGCAGGAGTCCACGGCCACCAACAGGACGTCGTCACGCTCCCACGCCGTGCTGCAGGTCACCGTGCGTCAGCGCAGCCGTGCCATGGACCTGGCCGAGGAAGTGCACGTCGGGAGGCTCTTCATGGTGGACCTGGCGGGCTCGGAGCGGGCAGCCCAGGTGCCTGCCCCTTGGTGCCCCCCGCCCCATCCCTTCTAGACGTCCTGTGCACACTGCTCAGTGCCCACTGAGGGACCCAGGCTGGGCTGTGGGTGCGCAGGGTGCAGCAGGGGCGGGGCCTGGGGAGTTTGGAGTGCCCGTGAGACCATGTGGGGCACGGGAGGCGTGAGCTTTGGGCGTCAGGTGTGCCGAGGCTGTGTGAGTCCAGGGAGCTGGTGCCCAAGCTGCGGGCACCCCCTTCCTTGGGCCCCTGGCTCCTCTGCCCTGTACTGGTCGACTCCGACGAGGGCTGTGGGCACTGGGCTCCCTGGGGCATTCCTTGGCCATAGGGACCCAGCCTGGCTGTGTCAGGAGGCAGTGCCAACATGCAGCATTTCCCAACCCCCTGCAGCACACAAGACACTCACGGTCAGTGTGTGGCGGGCAGCACCGTGCCCATGTGTGCCCCCACCCCCTGGGACACAGTGACTGGCAGTTGCCTGGAGAGCTGTCCGTGGCAGAGCAGCTGTGGACATGCCTTTCTCTGCTGTGTGTTGTGCGGTTTGCACCGTGAATGGAGCCAAACTGTATCTTCCTTCTGCTGAAGGCCTGTCCTTGGGGGCAGCGTGGGGCTCTGCCTCTCCTGGGCACTGGACAAGCGTCCAGGCCCGAGGCCTTCATTCCTCCAGCTACGACAGGGCAGGCTGCTGCCTGGCTCTGGGCCTTGGCCTTGCACTGCATACGCAGTGGCCTGGCTGGGCTGTCCTCAGTGCCTGCTTGGCGCTCACAGGTGTCATTTTGACACCAACAATCACTGTCCAAGGAAGCCCATGCCCCCGTGGCCCGGGCACGCAGCACGTGCAGCCACTTGTGGCTCGGCCACGCCAGCAGTGCTTAGGTGTCAGACAGCCTTGCCTGCTGGCTCCCGGAGTAGGACCTGCCCAGGGTTAGAGTGTGGTCATCCCCCAGGGACTCACGGCCCACTGGGGTGCCATGGCTGCCCTCACTGCTAGGCCTTGGTCTGGGGTTGAGATCAGCGCATGACTGGTGGGCAGTAAGCAGGAGGGAGAGAAAGAGTGAGAGACACGGGTCCCTGAGCAGGCCTGGGTGCCAGCAGGACCTGCAGGGTCTCAGGGGTGGGAGACACGCCTCTGGGCATGCAGCCCACTCTTGGTTTGTATTCTAGAAGGACTTTTCCAGCCAATGGCCCTGCAGCCTCAGTGGGGGGCTCACAGGCATCCCCAGCACAGGCAGGGCCTGCGTGAGTCTAAGGGAGCGCTCTGAGTGACCCCAGCAGTGACTGCCCCGCAGGCCCAGAACCGCGGCATGAGGATGAAGGAAGGCGCGCACATCAACCGCTCGCTGCTGGCGCTGGGCAACTGCATCAACGCGCTCAGCCAGAGCGGCGGCCGCACGCAGTTTGTGAACTTCCGAGACAGCAAGCTCACGCGCCTGCTGAAGGTGAGCACGCTGCCTGCCCCAGGACCAGCCGGGGCCTGGGTGCTCCCACAGCCACGTGGCAAGGAGCTCAGCGGCTCGCCCAGGCTGCCTGCGGTCCCTTGGGGTGAGCCCTCATCTTGAGGTTCGGGTGCCTTCGGGCCGGGCAGAGGCTGCGCAGCTCCCAGCCTGCAGCCCGGGGCTTCCCGAACAGGACGCCCTGGGAGGGAACAGCCGCACGGTGATGATTGCCCACATTAGCCCGGCCAGCACCTGCTTCGAGGAGTCGCGGACCACGCTGCTCTACGCCTACAGAGCCAAGAACATCAAGACCAGGGTGAGGTGCCCGCTGCCTCCTTGGCTGCCCAGTCATTGGCTGGCTCCTGCGCACACTGACTGCCTCGCCAGCTCACGGGGGGCTTGTGGGGTGACTGCTGAGTGCATACCCCGAGGTCAGGCCTGGGTCTGCCTCCTGCTCTGCCCTGCCAGCTGGGGACACAGCTCTCCAGGTGCCCCCTTCTGTGTCCTGGCACCGGCATTGGCCTCCTGTGGCTGCAGGGGTGGCCCCAGGTGCCAGGGTTCGGGGGGCAGTGCCTCGTGCCCTCAGACGCACCATGGAGAGTCCTCTCACCTCCTTTCTTGCCCTGTGGCCACATCCGTCCCCCCCCACCTGTCTTTGGTCCTCCCTCCCTTCCTCCCCAGTGGGGACACCTGGCAGTGGGTTTAATATCGTTCCAGGGTCCTTAGTTACACTGGCAAGTAGATAGGATGACAAGGTTGCTTCCGCAGTTGGCGTTGGGGACAGACCCACCCAGTCATGCTGGTCTGTCAGTGCCACTGCACTTGTGTCTGAGGAGCAGGCCAGCTCAAGCTACGTGAGGACTTGGCGACACGGCCCCTGCTTGGTCCTAGACCAAATGACATGCCAGCATGTGAGAGCAGCGCTTCTGGTACTCCGAGCTGGGTGCCAGCTGTTAGGACAGAAAAGCACGCTCCGGGCTTCCCAGCGAAGGGCAGGCATTCAGCGTGCGGTCACGCAGAAGTGGCCGAGGACACACGGAGGCCATGTGCGCACAGCATGCGCACAGCTGTCCCAAGAAAGACACAGAAGCACAGGCGAGACAGCAGTGGGAGAGCGGCGAGCGCGCCAAGTTACCACTTCAGCCAGCTCAAGGTGCACGTTTCTGGGGTGCTGAGGGTGTTGCTGGTGGTGTGTGGCCAGCCTCCTGAGAGGCCCTGGGCCCTCCCAGCTGTGAGCCCACCGTGTCTGTCCTGGGCGCCCCGCTTTTGCAGGCTGCATGCGATAGCCTTGGCTTTCACTGCAGAAGCGGTGTATGTTCTGCTGATGCGTGTGCCGGCCCTGCCGCGTGCCTCACCCGTCCGCCGCTCCGCCAGGTCAAACGCAACCTGATGAACGTGTCCTATCGCATCGCGCAGTACACGGACGTCATCTCGCGCCTGCGCAGGGAGATCGAGCACCTCAAGTCCAGGATCGAGAGAAAGAGCGGGCCTGCTGCCCAGGACGTGCAAGGTAGGCCAGGTGGGCCGGCGCTCTCTGCACGCCGCCCTCCCTGGCGTCCCTGTCTGTGCTGGCAGAGCAGGCAGCAGGTGTACTCCAGCAAGGACGTGCCTTCTGCCCCGCGTGGCTAGCCCACTCACCCTTCTTTGGGTTTCTAAGATCAAGTCCTGTTAACTTGAGCCCAAACCAGGCGAAGAGACAATTCAAGTCCTCTCTAACGCACACATTCACTCTGGCCTCCTCTCCATCCTCCCGCCCTTCTCCCATTCATCCCATGCTCCCCGCTGTCTGTCCGTTCTTCCCTGAACCCACCATCCACATACCCTCTCATCCACTTCCTCATCCAGCCAGCTACCACCCACCATCACGTGTGCAATGAGCTACTCCAGCCACTGACCCCATGGTCCCATTTTGCTGGGTGAGCCTAGGACTCAGGCCTGGCTGAGGGGCACTGCTCCCAGCACAGCGGCGTTCCTGCCACCCGCAGTGCTGCTCGTCCCCCCTGACCCGGAGGAGGACGGCCGGCTGCAGATGAACAGGATCCGGGCTCAGCTCGTTGGGGCCTTCCGGGAGCAGAAGGAGATGCGGAGCAGCCTGTTGGAGCTGGAGAATGCCAGCACTGAGCTGCACATGGACATGTCCCGCCACCTGCTGACCATTGCTGAGTGAGTGCCCGGCAGGGCAGCGGAGGTCCCCAGGGTGCTCCTGTCTGCTGTGGTCCAGCCCTCCTCCAGCCCTCCTCTGCCCCCAGGGCTCTAGCCAGGGCTTGCCCGTTCCTCCCCTGCCCTTCGGTCGCAGTGGCTGAGCTGGGCCAGGTGGGAGACGTGACCGCATCCCTGTGGCCTCTCCAGGCTGCAGCTGTGAGGCAGCCATGGCAGGAGTGCAGAGCAGCACCCTCGTGGAAGAGGGTGGTGAGGCTCTGAGGACGTGTGCAGCTCCTGGGCCCCGGCTCCGAGCCCTCTGCACTCTGCATGCCCACCTGTGCCCTCTGCGCAGGGATGCCTGTAGGCGCTGGCCGTGCCATTTGCCAGCTGCAGGGGTGCTGCTGTGACTCAGGGCCAGCTGGGCTCACAGCCACCTGCTGCCTGGTACTCCCCAAAGCCCTTCTCCTCTGCCATTACCTGCCTCTCCCTGCTTCCTTTCATTTTCTTTATAAATTGTGCTTTACTTATTGGAAAGGCAGAGTTACAGAGAGGAGAGGAGAGACAGAGAGAGATCCGCTGGTTCATTCCCCAAGTGGCTGCAATGACCAGGACTAAGGCAGGCTCCTCTGGTCTCCCACATGGGAGCAGGGCCCAGGCACTTGGGCCTCTGCTACTTTCCCAGGTGCATTAGCAAGGAGCTAATGGGAAGTGGAGCAGCCGGGTCTAGAACCGGCACTTGTCTGGGATGTTGGAACTGCAGACAGTGGCTTAACGTACGAGGCCATGGCACCGGCCCCAGCTCCTTTCTTAAAAACAAACAAAAAATATGCCAACAGTGCGAGACTCTTGTCAGAGAAATTCTAGATAAAAACGGACATGTCTGCCTCCATGCAGATGGCCTGGCTCCCACAGCCACCACTCCTGCTGTCTGCACGGAGCTTCGCCTTGCTGCTTAGGTTTTCTGTGGCCTGGCGCACAGTGTGGACTGTTGCAGTTTATGCTTATAGGGCCCTGCAGTGAGTACATGGATGCGGTGATTCAAGGCCCGCAGCTTACGAGACCACAGAGGGGCCTGACATAGGAGGCCAGGGTCAACCCGGGCCATGGGCAGAACTGAGACTGGAGGCCGAGCAGGCTGGGGAGTGTACCCTGGTGTGCGCAGTCACACCGCCAGCCCTGCTGGGCTTGCGTACTGGTGAGTGGCAGCTGTGGCCAGGCTTCTGCTCATATGCACCCCCCATGTGCCATGGCTGCAGCTGGGAGCGGGACAAGACCCACCTCCGTGCACACAGAGGACGCCAGGAGCCCGAGAAGGATGAGGCGCCCACGGACGGGGATGAGTCCATGGAGCCACATGAAGTGGCCCTGGCCAGGGAGGAGGTCAACCTGCTGCTGGCAGAGCAGCGGAAGACGGCAGCCCTCAAGGTAGTCACGGCGGGAGGGCCAGGAGCCACTTCCTGGTTGGCAACTGCGTGGGCTTTTGGCAGTGTCAGCCCGTCCTGGGGAGTAAGGTAGACATGGCCTGCTGGGGCACGGAGTTTGGGGAGATGAGGTGAATGGGCCAGAATCCCCCAAAGACAGACCTGGGCCCAACCCCAGGCTCGGTCTCCTCCCTGAAGTTCCGGTGGCACCAGGGCCCGCAAGGGCCAGTGGCTGTGTAAGTTCCACAGAAAGCCCCCGCTTGCCTTGCCCTCTGTGGACGGGGTTTGGGTGGCAGAGCCGCCAGTGTCCGTGAGAGCCTTGTGCCCGGGGGCACACTTGCTGTGTGCAGTCAGCACTTGGTGCTGTCCGCTCCTGTCGGCCACTCCCCTTCCTCGCCAGAGGAGGGCATCGTTCATGGGTCAGCTTCCTGTCGGATGTCTTTACTTCATCGTAGGATGATGCCAGGGCCTCTGGGCACTCATCTCACCTGCTGTCGCATGCGGGTAGGCGCGTCTGCGAGTGTGAGGGTGTGGAAGCAGGGGCAGACTGCTTAGAAGCCAGCCAAGCAAGAGACGCCCAGGCTCGATGTGTGTGCCCCTGCCATGAGGGGGCAAGTGGTTTCCCTTCCAAGTTACAAGTCAGGTCTCCCCTGACCTTGACCAGGAAGAAGGGAAGCATTTGGCCAGAAGCAGGCATGGCTTCCAGCAAGAAAGTGTGACCCTCAGGTGCCGAGCACGAGCCAGAAGGAGTGCCTGATGGGAAAAGCCTGGGGCCTTCAGGGGCTTTGGCACCAACATAAAATATGATCTGTTTCCATCTGTGTGCGGAGTCTTTGAAGTTTGCTCCTCTAGAGAATGCAAAGGATGAGTCTGTGTTACCAGGCTCAGGTCAGTGTGCCCCATATCCAGCGCAGGGCACACTCAGGCTGGGGATTGAATGTGGTCACAGCAAAGTGACCCTTGGGGACAGCTGGGCGTCCAGACGACAGTGTCCTGGAGGAGGCTGGACCTTGTGAGGAGGCTAGGTGCCCTCTGAGCCGCAGGCAAGGAGAAGGTGGCAGAGTGCGTCTGCCTGGTGGCCCAAGGCCGGGTTCCTGACTGTGGCAGCTGCGCTGTGGCTGGGGGCGGCTGGAGTTACGCTGTCTTATGGCCGCCCCAGCTGCTCACTGGCAGGCTGTGTAACAGGGCAGCTGTGGCTGATGTCTCTGCGCACATGCGTGGGTGCGTGGATCTGTCACCAGAGGCTTCCGCGGGGCCCTGCCCGGGGCAGTGAGCAGCAGGCAGATCTCCAGGCCTCTTGGCTGAGGCCGCCCTAAGAGTAGCGGTGTAGTCCTCCACGCTCCTCGTGCTGTGTGCCTGAGGGAGCCAGGCCCTCTGGCATGGGCAGATCTGTGATGTGCCAGGGTGCCACCTTCCCTGGAGAAGGCCAGAGCTCTTGGCTCCCTGTGGCTCACGCACGGGCATGTGTGGGGTGAGTCTTGGTGATGTGTCTGTGACAGCACTGTGTGTCCAGGCAGCGGTGAGGGTATGTGGTTCTGTGGATCGCCGCTGCAAGGATGGCCGGGGAGGGCCAGAGCTCATCACACAGGCCACATGGCTGAGTGCCAGGGCCAGCCAGGACAGAGGAGCAAGGGGAGCACGTGGCGTCCTAGCCTGGGGGTGGGGCAGACTGGGGGTGTGTCGTGTGTAGAATCTCAGCGCTCTGGGCCTAGGGGCTCGCGGGTGATCAGGGCATGTGGACGTTGGCCAGTGCAGGAGTGACTGCTGTGTGAGCCGTAGGTGAAACACATGCCTGCGGGTTGTCTCTAGGGATTGGCTGACCCAGAAGGCAGGTCCCAAGTCAGGAAGCACCCCCGGCCCCAGAGAGAGAGGCAGCGACGCCCACATTGCTTCCCTGAGGGCTAGGGGCCAGCACGCAGAGCCTACCAGCACCCCCCGCCCTTGTGTCTCCGGCAGGCAGGGCTGGAGCAGCGGCTGGCCCAGGCCAAGCAGAAGGTCTCGCAGATGGAACAGCTGCTGCCGCAGCGCGTCACCAGCGAGGACCAGCGCGAGGTGTTGCGGCTGCTGTGCCGGGCACACGAGCTGGAGGTGGAGAACACGGAGCTGCAGGCCAGCAACATGTGCCGCAAGAACCTGCTGTGCCAGAAGGACCTCATCATCCAGCGCTACCACCAGCACCGGCGCCTCTGCCAGCAGCTCGTGGAGGGGCAGCGGCGACTCCTGCAGGGTGAGGCCTGGCGAGGGCCGACAGTCCAGGGTGGCTGGGCTGGTACGGACTCCAGGGCCCGTCCCCCTTGCCCTGCATGTCCTCCAGGGACGTGGGCGTGCCACACACTCCCTTGGAGCTGTCATCTGAGTGCAGGAAGCCCCCTTTCCCTAGCAACCATGGAGATTACTTTGTGCCCTGCAGTGCGGGCTGGCCCTCCCTGGGCAGGCTGCCTCAGCTCTGCCTTCCCTTTCCATTGTATGTTTATTTTTAAAAATATTTATTTATTTGCTTGAAAGAGTTAGAGAAAGAGAGGGAGCTACAGAGAGAAAGATCTCCCATGTGCAGGTTCAGTCCCGCAAGTGGCCACAATGGCCGGAGGGAGCTGAGCCAATGTGAAGCCAGGAGCTTCTTCGAGTCTCCCACATTGCGCGGGGCCCGAGGCCTTGAGCTGTCCTCCGCTGCTTTGTCAGGCTCATGCGCAGGGAGTACTGGAAGTGGAGCAGCGGGACCTGGATGGGCGCCTGCACGGGACACTAGCCTCACGGGCAAGGATTAACTTGATATGCCAAGGGTCTAGTCTTTTTTTTTTTTAAAGGCTTATTTGTTTATTTATTTATTAATTTGTTGTTGGGAAAGCAGATTTCCAGAGCGGACAGGGAGAAAGATCTTCCATCCTCTGGTTACTGCCCAAATGGCTGCAACAGCCAGAGCTGAGCTGATCCAAAGCCAGGAGCCAGGAGCTTCTTCAGGTCTCCCACATGGGTGCAGGGTCCCAAGGCTTTGGGCCATCTCCACTGCTTTCCCAGGGCACAAGCAGGGAGCTGGACGGGAAGTGGGCCAGCTGGGACACGAACCGATGCCCATGTGGGGTGCTGGTGCTTACAGGGAGAGGATTAGCTTGTCAAGCCATGGCAATACACAGCGCCGCCCCGCCGCCTGCATTTCTTAGTAGGTTTATTTATTTGAAAGAGTTCCAGAGGAAGGATTGGAGACAGAGAGAAAAATCTCCCATCCATTGGTTTACTCCCCAAATGGCCACTGCAAGCAGGGCTGAGCCAAGCCAGACAAGAGGCAGCAGCCGCCCTGGGTCTCCTGCGAGTGTGGCAGGGCCCGGGTGCTCAGGCCACCTTCTGCTTGCCATTCAGGTGACGCCCCCAAGACTCAAGCCAGCGCCCATATGGTGTCACAGGCAGAGGTTCTACCCGCTATGCCACAATGCTGGTCCATCCCTCCGTTAAATGTATCTATTTTCTTTTTCTTTTTTTTTTTTTTAAGATTTATTTATTTATTGGCAAGTCAGATATACAGAGAGGAGGAGAGACAGAGAGGAAGATCTTCTGTCTGATGATTCACTCCCCAAGAGAGCGCAACAACCGATGCTATGCCAGTCCGAAGCCAGGATCCAGGAACCTCTCCTGGGTCTCCCACGCGGGTGCAGGGTCCCAAGGCTTTGGGCCGTCCTCAACTGCTCTCCTAGGCCGCAAGCAGGGAGCTGGATGGGAAGTGGAGCTGCCGGGACTAGAACCGGTGCCCATATGGGATCCCGGGGCGTTCAAGGCTAGGACCTCAGCTGCTAGGCCATGCCGCCGGGCCCTAAATGTATGTATTTCCATATTTTAATTTGAGGTGAAGAGACAGAGAAGAAGCACTGGAGAGACCTCCTGGCCACATGCCTGCAATGGCCAGGGTCTCCCACGTGGGCAGTAGGAGCCCAGCCCCCTGACCCGTCACTGTACCCCCAGGGTCTGCCTCAGCAGGAAGCGGGGCTCAGGAGCCAGCGTCAGGACTTGAACCCAGATTCTTCCGGCACAGAACAGGGGCGCCGTAACTCTCAGCCAAGCACCCACGCCCCTCTGTCCATTCTTACAGCTCCTGCCCCGTACTGTCTCTGATTGTTTTATTTTCACAGTTTCAGATTTGCATAGAAGGTGCAGTGCCAGTACACGGACTTCCCCCAGGAGTGGTAACATTGCTCTCTGACTTTCTGCGGTATCTGCTGAAAGTTCATGGGAAATAAGTCTTTCTGAAAAGCTCAGCACAGTAGCCTCGTGGCTACATCCTCACCTTGCAACCAATGGCATCCCACATGGGCGCCGGTTCATGTCCCACTGCTCCGCTTCCCATCCAGCTCCCTGCCTGTGGCCTGGGACAGCAGTGGAGGACGGCCCAAAGCCTTGGGACCCTGCACCCACGTGGGAGACCCGGAAGAAGCTCCTGGCTCCTGGCTTTGGATCAGCTCAGCTCCAGGTGTTGCAGCCAGTTGGGCAGTGAACCAGCAGATGGAAGATCTTTCTCTGTGGCTCTCCTCCTCTCTGTATATATGACTTTATAATAAAAATAAATAAATCTTTAAAAAAATAAATCTTAAAAAAAATCTATGTATGGATTTCAATTTTTTTTACCCCCAAATAAGATTATTTTTTAATTCCATTGTCCACCAACATTGAACTCCTGCCCCTTTGCCGCCTTCTGCTGCCTCTCCCTGGCATATTTTGGGATGCCCTGAAGTGTGTGGAGCACGGAGCATCCATGTTGATGAAATGCCACCGGGCAGACCTTATTCAACTTGCTAACGTCTTGCTCATGTCCCCTTGCATGAGCATTGGTCCCTCACGCTGGTGCCACAGCTGGCCCCCAGAGGCCCGGGAGGCCACCCTTTCTGGGCCACAGGGCTTGAAAGGGTGGCCTCCCGGGCCTCTTGGCTCTATGTTCTCTGTTCTTTGGAGCACATGCCTCGCTATGACTTGCACTTGACACTTTCAGAACTGTGACAAGCATCGTGCTGCCACTGCACAGCCACGTGGAGCAGCACAGAGAAGCCCCTTTCCAGCTGGCTGGGGGGCTGCCTCAGATCCCTGCAGCAGTGGCTCTGTCAGGCCAGCGACAGGTGTTTGGCCTGATTCTGGGTTGGTGGGCGTTGTCGTCCATGGTTGTGCTAAGCTTTGTTTCCTGGCCCTGCAGAGCACAGCATCCCAGTGCCTGAGCACCTGGACAGGCGGTACTGCCTGTACTCACAGGAGCTGGGCGAGGGTGCCCTGGACCGCCTGCTGCTGCTGCACTCGGTGATGGCCAGCTCCCTCCAGGTGAGTCCACCCCGCCAGCTTCCTGGGCCACCGTGCGCGGCCTGGCTGGGGGCTGTGAGGGGTGTGGGGGCTGTGAGGGGTGTGGGGGCTGTGAGGGGTGTGGGGGCTGTGGGGGCTGTGAGGGCTGTGAGGGCTGTGGGGGCTGTGGGGGATGAGGGGGCTGTGGGGGCTGTGGGGGCTGTGAGGGGTGTGAGGGGTGTGGGGGGTGTGAGGGGTGTGAGGGCTGTGAGGGCTGTGAGGGCTGTGAGGGCTGTGGGGGATGTGGGGGCTGTGGGGGCTGTGGGGGCTGTGAGGGGTGTGGGGGCTGTGAGGGGTGTGGGGGCTGTGAGGGGTGTGGGGGCTGTGGGGGCTGTGGGGGCTGTGAGGGCTGTGGGGGCTGTGGGGGCTGTGGGGGCTGTGAGGGCTGTGAGGGCTGTGGGGGCTGTGGGGGCTGTGGGGGCTGTGAGGGGTGTGGGGGCTGTGAGGGGTGTGGGGGCTGTGAGGGGTGTGGGGGCTGTGAGGGGTGTGGGGGCTGTGAGGGGTGTGGGGGCTGTGGGGGCTGTGAGGGGTGTGAGGGGTGTGGGGGCTGTGGGGGCTGTGAGGGCTGTGAGGGCTGTGGGGGCTGTGGGGGATGAGGGGGCTGTGGGGGCTGTGGGGGCTGTGAGGGCTTTGGAGGGCTGTGGGGGCAATGGGAACCCTGAAGCCCCTGCACACTTAGGGCTACAGTATTAGGGTGCTGTCACAATTTTCAGGGCCAGCCCCCCCCGGGACTTCCGGCTCATCTGCCTGGAGTGCATGTTATGTTTCTGCTTGCATTATTTGGAGTGTCTTGCCACTCTTCCCAGATGTAGACATGGCGCTCGCTCGCGCGCTCTCTCTCGGTCTCTCACTCTCACGCGCACACAGACTTTCAGTTTTAGAGCAGGTTAGGTGGACAGCAGCACAGTGGAGGTGCAGGTTACCCAGTGGCCGCACCAGTGGCCCTGGCTCCAGTGCTGACCGTAACACTCGAGTTCAAGTTCAGAACCAAAATCCCCACAGAAGAGAATTCAGTTCAAAGCAGCTTCACTGGGAGTGCTCCCGGCAGGCTTCACTGGCCTGGTACGGATGGCGGGCCAGGGACGTCGCATCCGGAGAACATGAGCTGTCATTTTATCAGGAGGCTGCAGAGGTGACTTTGAGGGCAAAGGCGTGTGCCTTGTGGCACCACGGAGTGCTGTGGGCTCCTTCCGACTTGGTGAACCCACACTCACTCTTGGCCGGGAGGGGCTGTATTCCGCAGGTGGGGCCTTACCAGCCACCGTCTCAGCCGAATCCTGGGCTGCCCCTCACCCTCCTGGCTGGGCCGCACGCTGACCCAGCTCGCTGCGGCTCATACCCAGCCTATGCAGAAGCAGGTGCCCATGCCCACCCGTCACGACCGTGTCTCCAGGGGGTTCACCGCCTTTCAGCCCCTCAGTGCCCCTCCCCTGCCCTGTGGACCCCCTCACTTCCCTCTGCCTGTACCAGAATGTCACAGAGCTGGAGTCACACAGCCCAGGGCCCATGTAGTCTGCCTTCCCCCACAGTGCTGTGCAAGGTCGCCCCACATCCCTGTGTGACGTGGGAGGCCATTTCTCAGCAGTGCTCAATACCGATCCGTGGTCTGCGGCAGGGGTTCTGACAGTTCTGACCGCCCACCATCTTTCCAAGGTCGAGGCTGTGTCCCTCTCTGCGTGGGATGGAGGCCAACTTGCCAGCTGCCCTGTTGCATTTCCTTCCAAGCTGTGGCCTGGAGTGGTGGCTCCGTGTTCCGGGCTGGCAGGGAGGAGACCTGCCTGGCGGCCTCACTCAGTCCCTGTGTCCATTTCCAGGATGGCTCTGTGGTATCTCCCCCACTGGGAGAAGCTGCCCCGGAGCAGCCCCCTGACCTGGAGGACCTCCCGTGGGCTGCCCAGTCTGAGCTGCCCCCAGTGCTGTTGGAGAGGAACAGGTAAGGAGAGCATTGCCAAGCCTCCCCACCAGGGCCCCCCTGGGATGGGGAGGGCTGAGGTGCCCGTCGTGTCCAGCCCAGCTGGCAGCGCTTCTACCCGCTCGGGCAGTGGGCTGCCCTCCCTGCATGCTGCTTTACATGCCATGGACACAGCCCAGGAGACTCCCGCTTGGGTGGTCTGGAGGCAGAGGCTAGGGCAGCCCTTGTGCTCTCTGCGTGTCTTTGGTTCAGAATTTGTTAAGATGAATTAATTTATTTGAAAGACACAGTGTTGGAGAAAGTGGAGGGAGAGAGAGATCGCTCCCATCCACCGCTCACAACATCGGGGGCTTTGCCAGAGCCAACGCCACAGCCCGGGGTGCCATCCGATCTCCCCCATGGTGCAGGGGCCCAGACACCCGGGTGCCGTCTGGATCTCCCCCACAGTGACAGGGCCCTGGACACCCGGGGTGCCATCCGGATCTCCCCCACGGTGGCAGGGGCCCAGACACTTGTGCTGTCACCTGCTCCTCCCAGGCACATCAGCAGGGAGGTGGGTTGGAAGTGGTCTAATCCAGCTGCCCGCTGGGAAAGCAGTGGGAACTGGCCCAAGTGCTGAGCCCTGAGCCCGTGTGGGAGACCCCGAGATCCTGTAAGCATGATCATCATGGGGATAGCCAGGACGGGCTGAACACTCCAGTGTGGGACACTGGCACCTCAGGCTGCACATGACGCCAGCTCGAGTGTGGCTTCGATTCCCAGCAAGGTCAGCAGCACCTGCTCACGTGGTTCAGGGCCCCTCTGAAGTGAGGTTTCTCTGGCTTTGCCCCAGATGACTTTGCAGCTGGGTACAGTCTCGGTGTGGCTGCTGCATGGTGCCCAGGTCTAGTCCTGGGGCTGGGGGAAACGAAAGTGCTCAGAGCTACCCGGAACGCAGGCGTGTGTGTGTGTGTACGCTGCATGCACGTGTGAGCAAGCACTGCATGTCCGTGTCGTGTGTGTGCAAGGTGTGCACGCCTGACCTTGTGCAATTGTGGTGAGCTGTATAGGTGCTCTCTGACCAGGGCCTCCCCTCCCCGAGCTGCCATTGTGCCTGTCTGCGAGCCTGCGGCTGTGTGAGTTGAATAAACAGGCTGTGTCAGCCTCACTTCAGGAACCAGGTGCTCCAGCCCCAGGCCGCTGGTGGGTCCAGCGCTAGCCCGGCTTCCTCCTAGCTGCCACCAAATGGCACGCTTCTGTCTCTGCCAGAACCCTTGCTGCGACAGTGCCCCCTAGGGGTGTCAGCGGGCAGAGGGCCCTCCAAGCTGTGGCTGGGTCGGGGGGCTCCGCAGCCTGGCCAGCCCAGCGGCTCCAGCCCCCCACCCCTGCTGTGGTGTTTTCATGACACGTGCATGGTCAGTCATGTCATTGTTCCCTGTCGGAGACCTCGTCCCGTCCTGACCCGAGCTTGTTGGACACCCACCCTGCAGCCGGTGGCAGCCACCTCCGGAGTGTGACAGAGGCCTTGTGGCTCAGAGCAGGCCCGGGGTTCTGCAGGAACCGACAGAGCCAGGCACATCTTTGTGTTCCAGCCCCCCTGTCCCTTCTGCTCTCCAAGGCCAGAGGCCTTTCAGATGGGGTGTGGTTGGGCGGGGCTGCACCTGCTGAAACCCACGGCTGGCTGGCAGGGCTGTGTCGATGGCTGAACAGGCCCGGCTCAGCCTCAAACCACACACGAGCATGCTGAGGTCACCACCTGACCTGACGTGAGAGCACAGTCCACCAGAGACCCCTGCTGTGGCTCCCCTGGCTGTGACATGGGACTCTTGGGCCCGGCAGCTGGCCCTCTGACACCTCCGTGTCTCTCCCACAGCCACAGCGCAGGCCCTGGCTCGCCGAAAGCCGCACCGTCCAAGAGGCTGGGCAGGCAGGATTCCCTCCTGCCCCTGTCCTCCCTGCTCACACCTCCAGCACTCGAGGTAAAGGTGCCTGACCAGGGCCTGGGCCTGCAGCCTTTTCCCTTCCAAGTCGGGTCATCCTGGCACTGCCCACTGCTGGGTCAGGAATAGGTTAGTGGGAAGGAAGCCACTGGGTGGTGGCAGCCCTCACCATGGTGCTGTGGACGCGGTCAGCAAGTGCTGCCCTTCTGGCTTCCAGAGGCTAAAATCCCACAGTTTGGCACTGGTGCGGGATCCTTGCCGGGTTCCCCCAGCTCTTGGAATGCCAAAGGCTGTGCCCTCCTGTTCCTGCACTCACTCTCACTTCCCAGGCCTCGGCGTCCTTTCCTCACCTCTAGGTGGTTTCAGGCCCACCCCTCTCCTGGAAGTGCCGTGAGGTCACTGGGCATCACACGCCCTTCCTTGTCCCTGTCCTTGTCATGGCTCCACCCCTGGCGCGGTACTGATGGAGCCTCTGACTTCCCCTGCAGAGGCCGGCCCTGCTGAACAGGAAGAACTTGGTCTGCATGCTGCAGCCGGCGGCCAGCCCGGAGCTGAGCGCCTCTGCCCTCCAGGAGATGGCTGAGGGCACCAAGGGCATCGCCCTTCTCGCGGCCAGCCGGCGCTCCAAGGCGCAGGCCCAGGAGGGCGGCAGTGGCCATTCCTCCCACCACCTCCTGGAGGAGGCAGCCCCAGAGCCCAGGGACCAGAAGCCCAGCACCAGCCCGGGTCTCAGCCCTGCCCCTGGGAGGCGACCCCGAGCCAGCCCCTGCAGGGAGCCCTCCAGGGGGGTGAAGGACAGCAGGGAGCAGTCAGCCTCCCTCCCCTGGAGCACGCAGCCGGTGAGTGGAAGCCGGCTGGGCCCCCGGGAAACAGAGACAGGGTCCCTCTTGCTCCTGTTGCTGTTCTGGTTCACTCCCCAAATGGCTGTAATCTGATATGAGCCCGTCTGAAGCCAGAAGCCAGCAGCTTCCTCCAGGTCTCCCATCTGGGGCAGGGACCCGAGGCTTTGGGCCGTCCTCCACTACCTTCCCAGCACATACGCAGGAAGCCAAGTTGGAAGTGGAGCAGTTGGGACTAAAACTGGCGCCCACGTGGGATGCTGGCACTGCAAGTCGATTAGAACGCTGCACCAAAGTGCTGACCCCATGGAATCTGGTTTTGGCTTTTTTTTTTTTTTTTTTTAAGATTTTTCTTTATTGTTTCCCTTGGTGGTGGGGGCTGTTGAGCCCCAAGCTGTGGGCCCAGGAGGTTGGTGAGCCAGGGTCCCAGAGCCACGTGTACAGGAGGCTGGCCTGGCTGGCAGGCAGCAGGTGGGGGACGGTTCTGTTTGCCCCGTGCGCGCTCAGGCTGGGGGGGACAGCGTCTCACTCAGCCCCCCAGTAATGTGAAACTCTCCCGAAGCAGCTGCTGGGCGACGTGTAAGCTGCACTGTGCCATGGGGCGGAGGGGACATGTGGCCAGAAGAGTGGTGTCTGTTCACTCACTCATGGCTCACGCGTGGGGCTGAGGACACATTCAGCCGTGATCCTGCTGTCATGTCCCGCAGCGGGCTGGCACCCTGGCGCAGGACGTGGCAGGTCGTGTCTCTGCCACCCTGCCCTGCTCTGGTTCCCCCTGTAGGCGGCCGTGGAGCAGCAGGGGCAGGGCCAGCCCTCTGCCGTGCCCACCCGGTCGCCCGGAAGGAGCTTTCTCCCCCCTGTCACTGTGGTCTCCAGGATGAAGCTCAGCCACAGCCTCCATGCAGGTAGAAATGGGGCGGGTGGTGGCTGCCTTGTTCGGGGTCTCTGTGCCCACCCCTCCGAGGGTGGGTGGATCAGGAAAAAAACAGACAAAAACCAGCCGTGCGAGTGAGGCCTTTTTAATTGGAAAGGTAGATTTTACAGAGTAAAGGAGAGACAAAGATGTGCTGCCTGCTGGTTCACTTCCAAGTGGCTGCAACGGTTGGATCTGAGCCAATCCGAAGCCAGGAGCCAGGAGCTTCCTCCGGGTTTCTCAGGCCCTCACCCAGCCCCTACTGCTTTCCCAGGATATGGGCAAGGAGCCAGATGGGAAGCAGAGCAACAGGGACATGAACTGGCATCCCTGTGGGGCCCTGGCATGTGCAAGACAAGGATATAATCGCCAAGCACTGTGCCAGGTCCAGGCCCAGTTTTTAAAAACCTGAAACATTCAACAAACCAACCAACCCACTTAAAATGCTTCTTGTCCTTTTATGTTTTCAGAAGCTTTTCTCACTCTCCTTGTCCTGGTTGTGTCATAAGGCTTGCGCAGCCTCACTGGGCTTGACCCGAGGAGCAGAGCCTTGCCCGACGCGTTGCACGGTCCCTGCAGCTAACCCCGCCCCTGTGCTGCTCTCTCTGGCAGATGACCACACATCGCACGTGCCTGAGGTCAGCTTCACCTTCCCCAGCGCCGTGTGGCGGAGCAGCCCAGGCTCCAGCAGGGTGCCCCTACTGCCCAGGGACATCCGAGGTCAGTGGCCGACTCCTCCTCTCCCTGTGCTGCCCCCAGCCTCGGGGATTTTCACGCAGGCCCCATGGGCCAATTCAGGACACACGGCAGCCCCTGTACAGCAGAGGCTCTGTGGGACAGTCCCACAGGGCCAAGGCAGTGGCCCTGGTGTGGCAGGGCAGGAGGCAAAGGGACCCTGGGCTGTGGAACTCCCGATCCCCACGAGGCCCGGCTTGTGCATCTGCCAGGCCCACGGGCTGACTGATATATCTCCCCATCTCTGCAGGGTCCACAGACAGCATGGGCCAGCACCACAGCCCACTGCCCCCCAGCAACCCCCGTAGGCCCCAGGGCGGCAGCGCCAAGATAGCAGGAAGACCCAAGTAGATGGCAATGAAGCAGGCACATGGGGCTGAGGGGACGACAGAGGCCTGACCTGGGCACCTACAGGTGGGTGGGTCCCATCCTGTCCCATCCAGGGAAGACTGCCCTGGAGGGTCCAAGCCCTTCCCTCAGGATCCGCTCTGAGGGGCAAGACCCCCAGGCACTGCCCACCCCTGGGGCTCTGGCTGTGGAAGCCATTGCAGGTAGGAGCCTCTGTCCACCGCTCTCCTGGGAAAGACCACCGAGTCCTCACCCTGCCAGGACACGGGCATGCCGCTGTGCGCCGGCCCCAGCAGGGCTGGCTCTGCATTCATGACAGGGGTGTGGCACTTGTGGGCGTGACTCTGTCGCTGTCTAGTTTCCAAACCTGTCCCCGAGCCCTTGCTCTCTGTAGTCCCCTCATTGGAGGCCCTGGGCTCACAGCCACCTTCCTAAGGCAGAAGCCACCTGTTGCGTGTTGGGACAGCCACCCTGGCAAGGCCAAGGTGGGATGGGACGCTGAGCGGACTTGGGAAGCAGCCCTGGCTCTCAAGGCTGAGAGGGTGGGAGGCATGGAGTCTTGTCTCAGTGGGAACAAGTCGGATGTGGGCACGCCGGTCCCTGGGCACCCATCCACACACGCAAACCAAACAGCCAGACTGCATTGGCAGCCGCACATCAGAGTGCCAGTTCGGGTCCCAGCTCCCTGCTAATGCCGCAGGTGAGAACTTAAGTCCTTGGGCCCCTGCCAGCTACTGGGACACCTGGAGGGAGCTGGCCCCAGGCTTCCGCCTGGCCCGGACTTGAGGTCCACGCTGAGGTCCTGGTTGGGTTTCTAATGGTAGAACTCAACAAAGTGTGGGCCCCTCCTGGTTGGCTCCCCAGGAGTTGTTGACTGACTGCCTTAGCCTCTAAATGCACCCCCTGCTGTTGAGGTGCTCCGCCCTGGGCCAGCTCCCTGCGGAAGAGAACACGTGGCACTTTCTGCCTCGGTTTGACATTCAGGGCACGTTGAAGCAGAAACTGAGAACAGACCTTCACTGCCCGCTCACCGGCTTGGACCTCACTCCGCACATCTGTCCCGTTTTCCGGAAGCATCCTAAATAAAACCTCTGTGCAGTGGCGAGCCACTTTGGTGATCTGGATGTGGCCACTGCACTGCTTCCTGCAAGAACTCGGGGACGCAGGCCTGGTACAGCTTTGACGATACCCGAGTCGGTGACATCCCTGGACGTTCAGGCCTCCACAGCCTCTCTCCTGCTCTACAGCTGCCAGCCGTTTTCCATCCCTGTTTGAAAATACAGACGCTAACAGGGTGTTTCCTGAAAACTGCAAAACCAGCAAAATTAAACTCCTAAAACTAAAAAAAAAAAAGCTGCAGCCACTGGGGGAGTGGACCAGTGGGTGTGGACAGCTTCCTCTATGTCACTCTTCCTTGCAAATAAATAAATATTTTTTTAAAGTACACATTTATGGCAATGCGTGTTAGAAAAATATATAGCCAGACCCCGTCTGGCCATGCCAGCGAGCAGTGGGGCTGAGCGGAAGGCCGAAGGCTGGGTGCCCACCCAGACCCTCCAGCTTGGCCCTCCCGACGAGTGAGGCTGCCTCAGGGTCTCCAGCTCGGCCGTGCCCCCCGCCATTCTCCCCCAGGCCTCTTGGGTCGTGGAGACATGGACACCTGCTCAGCTGCCTGGGAGATATCGGGCGCCACAGTCAGCCGGCACCTCCATCATTGTGCCCTGTGGGGCATCGTCTGGCAGGAGCCCTGGCAGGCAGCAGCACTTGGTGCCCTGGTGCCTCCACGCCACAGCCACGTGGGCAGGGCATCCGCCATCCCAGCTCTGTACAGGTGAGGCACTGGGCTCACAGGGCTCACTGCCCCTGGGCAGCACCTCTGACCACCTCTGCCCAGTCCGTCAAGGTTGGCTCCTCTGCCCACCTCTACTGCCCCTGGGCAGCACCTCTGCCCACTTCTGCCCAGTCCGTCAGGGTTGGCTCCTCTGCCCACCTCTACTGCCCCTGGGCAGCTCCTCTGCCCACCTCTGCCCAGTCCGTCAGGGTTGGCTCCTCTGCCTGTTGCTTCCATTCACTGTTCAGCTTGTAGGGCCAGGCCCAAGCCTAGAACCCAGTACTCCATTGAGACCTCCCACATGGCCGGCAAGGGCCCAAGTCAGGCCATCACGGCTGCCTCCAGGATGGGCGTTAGCTGCAAGCTGCACGCAAGTGGAAGAGCCAGGACTTGAACCAGGCACCCGGACACCGGGGTCCCAAGCAGCGCTTAGCTCTGTGCCTCATGCCTGCCTCTATCCGTACCCTGGTGTCCTGGAGCCCTGGCAGCCTCAGTCAAGGCCATCTCTGCTTTTCCACTTTTATAATCCTGGTGATGAAAACAGCAACAGGTACTGCTGGTGGACAGCTCCAGCCCAGGGTCCTGGAGATGGTGCTGCTCAAGGCGGTGCTGTGGGCAAGGGGGTGCTGTGGGCAAGGGGGTGCTGTGGGCAAGGGGCTGCTGTGGGCAAGGGGGTGCTGTGGGCAAGGGGGTGCTGTGGGTAAGGGGGATGTGGCCAAGGGGGGCTTTGGCCAAGGGGGGCTGTGAGCATCAGGGTGCTGTGGCTAAGGGGGTGCTGTGGGCATCACGGTGCTGTGAACAGGGGGTGCTGGCCAAGGAGGCTGTGAATAGAGAAAGCTGCCCTGCATGGTACTGTGGTGGTGGCCACCTGAGGGCCAGAGCTGATGGCTGCCGGGCCCCTCCTCCCCGTTGGCAGGACCCAGAACTTGGATTCTGGTCTGGACTCTGCTCCCCTGAACCCCAACAAAGAATGAGACAGAATGGTATCAGCATGTAGCTGTTCCAGGAAGCCTGCTGTTTATCTTTAAGCAGTACCAGCTTGACCTAACAGGCAAGCAACACTTTAAACTGGCCCTCCCTCCCTCTCTCCAGTCCCTGCAGCTTTCTCTCACTGCACCCATCATCCACCAGGCTGTGGCTCTGCGAAGCCTTCCTGCCCGCAGCAAAGGCCCTGGCCAGTGCTTGTCTCCCCACATACCCAGGAAGGCTTTAGCCAGAGAGAGTCTGGGAACTCATGGGGAAAGGTACATTTTTATTTGCTTATTAGGTGGCCATCCCACATCAGAGCGCAGGTTTGAGTCCCGGCTGCTCTCCATTCGGTCCAGGTCTCTGCTGGTGCACCTGGGAAGGCAATGGGTGGTGGCTGCCGCCCACGTGGGGCGTTAGGTACCTACCTGGCTTCGGCCTGGCACAGGCCACTTAGGGAGTGCATGTCCGTGCCTCTGCGCAGCAGGACGGCGGCCAGCGCAAGTGCATCGCGCACAGCCTGCAGCTGAGACCGGCTGGCCGACTCGGAGCTCAGGGACTCACCGTGGCGGGTCCGCAGCCCCCCGACACCGGACTCCCCGCCCCGGGCTGGCCCAGCGCAGGATCCCCGTCCACCGGGCGGCCCGGGCGCCGGGCATTGGCTGCTGGCGCGGAGGCGGGGCTGCAGGTGGGAGGGACCGGCGTCCTGCCATAAATCGGGCGCCAGGGGGGCCCCCGGCTGCGGGTAGGGCGCAGGCGCACGGGGCTCCGGGCAGCGGGATGCTCGGCCGGCTCTCGCGAGAAGAGGGGCGGCCGGGGAGGCGCTGGGCGGCGGCGCGGACAGGCCGGCCGAGGTGAGGGATGCGGGGCGCGCACAGGCCGGCCGAGGTGAGGGGCTCCGGGCACGGGGCAGGGGGCGCGGACAGGCCGGCCGAGGTGAGGGATGCACGGGGCGCAGAGCAGGGGGCGCGCACAGGCCGGCCGAGGAGAGGGGCTCCGGGCACGGGGCAGGGGATGCGCACAGGCCGGCCGGCCAAGGTGAGGGATGCGCGGGGCGCAGGGCGCAGGGCGCGCACAGGCCGGCCGAGGAGAGGGGCTCCGGGCACGGGGCAGGGGGCGCGCACAGGCCGGCCGAGGAGAGGGGCTCCAGGCACGGGACAGGGGCGTGCACGGACCGGCCGAGGCGCAGGGCGCGGGACGGGCGCCTCCCCGGTGGACGTCTCTCTCAGCCCGGGCTGGGGTGAGCTCTTGGGGTGCGGGGTGCAGAGAGCCTGCCGGGCTAGCGCAGCGAACGGGACCTCCAGCTGCACAAGCCGCCGACAGTGGCACTTTGGGCTCCTCTCTGGCGAGCCCTTGGCCGAGGCCGAGATTCGCTGCTAGTGTGTCCTTACTGATTAAATTATTAATGTTCCATTCCGGACACCCGGGAGGGGCCGGGTGAGACCTGGGGTGAATCAAGAATGTGAACCGCCGCAGGGCGGGTGCGCCCCTGGCACTGGCTGGCCGGCCGGCTGCCCACCGCGGGGCGGGGTTGCTGGCTGTGGCTGGCTTGGGGCACTGCCCAGCCCGTCTCTGGGCTGCTCACTGCAGCAGGACACCAGATAGCCCTCCCGTGGAGGCCCTGGGGTTGGCAGGGTCCTGAGGCTGCACACAGTGGTCTGGGGGTCTTCTGGCCTGCACGTGGACTCTGGGACGAGGGACTGTACTGCCCCCCATACCCCCCCTGCACCCCTCAGCACATCAGGCAGGCCCCATGCTGGTCATGCCAGGGGCCTTGTCCTGGGTCAGCCAGGCTGGAGCGCCTCGTGACTGGTGCCGTCATGCGTGATGCAGAGAGCTGGAGCAGCTAAGCCTCAGGGGAGAAGCTTCCGGAAGGTGGACGTGAACGGGGCATCTCGGTGGGCCGCTGCGCTCTTCATGGTGAGGTGGGGTACAAACCTGGGTGGCCATTCGTGGCCCTGAGTGCCATGCTGAGGCTTGGTGTGAGCCAGCGAGTGCAGGGCCTGCGGGCTAGGGGCTGTGGGGGTGCAGGACCAGGGCCAGAGCAGGATGGAGGCCGAGGTCGGGCGCTGTCTAGCATGGGAACCTGTGCTGGGTGGTCCTGGCCTGTGGCAGAGGCCAAGGGGGACTGACTTGTGGGACAACTGTCTGTGCAACAGGGCTTGGAGGAAGGAGCGTGCCTGCATCCCAGGGGACCTTGGGCAGT